AAGACTTCAACAGCCCTGGAGGCTAAGGGATACAGACAATACAGGGGGTAACCGTTCAAAATGCAAGCTAATACTAGCTCGGTGGTCTGCTGGACCCTGCCCGCTGAGAAACACGGCCGCCGAGGTGGGAAAAATGACAGCATTTTCAGGGTCCTTTTTGAGGGTCCAATTCAACTCCACTGAAGTTGAGCCGGCTTGTCCGTCGTAAAGAAGGGCGGAGCACTTGGTCAATCCATTGTCCATTGTAGACAGGGCCTTGAATGAGGGGAGGAGAAATCACTCTCACTTTTGTTCATAGTTATTGACTGACCTCTGCCTTGGTTGACACGAGTGCGATATGTAATTTGGCAATGCAGTTGTGCGCCGTGCTGCATTGAGCCCCTGCTTGATAAAATTCGGAACGATGATCTCTCATGAACCGACGGTTTCAACAGAGCAGGGCATTTGGAATTAGGTAGGGTCTTGGTGTTTTCTGGAGGATGAGACCAACACATGTCTAGAAACTCCTAGCAAGTACAGTATCTAGGAGTATCAACAGGGGGATCCTTTTACGCCCCCCTCGCCGCCACACTCGAAATCGAATGTGACTTGTTTGGTAAAAAGCTTGCAGGGCCACTCATCACAAGAGGTAAGTCACCGAGTGGAGATGGGCCGACATTGTTGAGCCCTTGGTTTTGGTTCTAGAAGAAAATGTCATCCAGGCCAAGTCAGTGGCGGGTTCCATGGTTATAAGCGCGATTCGACATCGCTTTGAGCGGCCTTGGACTATTTCGGTGGTGATTGCCAGTTGGTAGGCATTCGGGGTACCTCATTTGGAACGACTGAAACTGACGGTGCCGATAATGGCTCAACGGCTTCAGCGTTGTTGAATGAGAGGAAGCCCAAGGCGCATGGTAGGGAGAAGCTCATGAAGCCCAGAACCATCGATGTATTTGAGGATATGAGGCAGCTCTTGGTATTCGCCATGAGTACCAGCCAGATCATTTGCGAGCAACCAGTTGTCAAGTGCCGCCGTCTTTTGAAGAATGCGTTGCTCTTGGCCCTTTAGCCCATTCCCTATCATCCCTTCCCTTCGTGCCATGTCTCTGACCGTCGATCTTGAAATCAAAGCCGAGTCGTACACGTGCTTCTGTGACTGAATGGATTCGAAACATATCTCACGTGGACTACAAGCCACCAATCTCGAAGGAGGACGGGCCAACCCCACGTACAGTATGTTCAGATGTCCAAGACAGTAACAATGGTCGAAATATCCATTAGAAAGAGGCTCTTGTGTCCAAACCATACCGTGCGGACTACAAAGCGCCTTGCGAAGATCCTCAACTTGAGGGGCTTTTTGTTCAAGCGGCAACGACACGAGCAATTGCCAAGCTCGATTTTGATTTGCCAAATAAGGGGCTTCAAAGATGTCGTCCACACAAATTAGGAGTTGAATCAAGGGCACCCCTGTCGGTGAATAAGAAACCGACTTGCCGCAGCTGCACCATGACGTGGGTGGCTGACTCGATTTCGACCTCGACCCACCTATTGAACGACCCCTGAACTCGCGATAATACTGTATGTATGTGCTACTGGCCGCAAAACAATTGGATATCATGCCCATCAGATGCTCCCCTACCATATGTTCTTTCTGGCACGTGAGCAGTGATGTGTTTAGCTAAGTCTCCTCGCTGTAACGTGGTTGATAAGCGAATGCTCCAGACAAGCGAGTGCTCCACTGCACTGTATAACTAAAACTAGCCTACCCTATAGCACTTTTAAGCTATAAATAAAATAGCTAAAAATCTAATAAAAGTATTTCTTATAATAGTATAGCTAGCCTTATTAAATTATATTTTTTAAAGATTTTTAGCTATTTTATTTTATATAGAAAAGCCTAAATACATAGTGTAAATATACTTTCTATATACTAACTATGTAGGATTTTTTTTAAAAATATAGAAAAATTAAGATAGCTTATTTTAAAACTTATATATAAGCTATTAAAATTATAGCTATTTTAAACTTAATTTAAGCTTTTTAGAAGCTTTTAAAAACCGGATTTTAAGGTGTATAAGGTAGTGGAGCACTCGCTTGTCTGGAGCATTCGCTTATCAACCACGTTATATGTGGTCTTGCGGTATACAGACGGCCCTTGAGAATGCCAGCGCAAACTACTAGCCATTCCCGATTTCAGTGGCACAAAGGTTGTGTCCCAGGAGTAATTATTAGCAGCATGCGCTGTGCGGACTGAGCGACAACACTTGGCCAGCCTTGCCTGAAACACATGACACTGTCCATCACAATGCCCATCTCATGGCGTATGTCCTAACCCTGTTGCTCGTAATTGGCGGCACTGAGCAAACACCACGTACCATACGCGGCGATAGCACGCTCCCTCGTGGCCAAAAGCCCAGCTGCTCAGCTCTCATTTGCAACCTGCGGGGACCAAGTCAGTCCGGAAACAGTAAGCATCTGTTGAGAATTGCACAGTGCTAAGACACCTGAATCTTCGGATATCTATTTTCATTTTTAGACGGTGATAACTGCACTATTCGCTGAACAGCATTGTGCTGTAAGCTGAAGATGGAGCAAGCTTACGGTGTGACCCAGAATATTTACTGCGAGCACCTTTCTAGCGCACTCAGAAGACCGATGGGACAATGGGACAATATAGGTGAGTGATCGTGCATGAGAAGTCGGGTCAAGAATTCGGATAAAGATCGCGGTGGAAATACCTATCCTAGTTCATCTTCGGACTAAGCAAGGGGGACCCGTACCAGCCCACGAGGATGCCGCTTATTGACAGCTCGAGAAGCCGTTTCAGCAAATGACAACGGAGCCGCGTCTAGATATCGCACTAGATGGATCCATTCGCAAAATCTACCAACACGAGAACACACTCTTTATGCATAGCCGTGACTGCTTGCTAGTTAAACACAAACAGTGCTGAACATACTGGATTGTCCTCAAAGTCCTGGGTCGAAAGACACGATCTGAACTGCAGTCTGGCCTCGACCCATGGCTTCTCAGCCTCCAATTCTCACTCGATTATGGGAAGTATCATCACTGTGCGAGTATTCAGCATAGTACCACCCCACATCAACAGCCTTGGCCCTTGGCAGCCAGGGCTTGTACTGATGAATACTCGTGACTGTTGGCAGTGGACATCCTTCAATCAGAATGGGGAAAGTACTGTAGTTCTGGCCAAGATTCGAAGGTGGACCAACATCGAGTTGTTTCTTGCGACATTTCTTTGCCAGCTAAGAGTTCAGTTCAACTTCGTCAGTGAGTAGGCTAATCAATCCCGACTCCAAGGGAATAACAAACTATGTATACTTGACCCAGGCGTCTCAGATGCCTTTGAGTTTGGTGGTAATTAAACCCTGGGGCTTCTTCTGATGAAAGGGTGCACGCCACTCGTAACCGTCTACCGGTATTTGACCGCTTTGCGGGACAACGACAAACCAGTAGAGGGGAAACATAAAACAAATGGAAATTGAATACGTCTAAAGCGGTTGCGGCACTGGCACAATATGTACATACAGTGTTTCTTAAACCGCCCCTTGCTTGCGCGGTTAACTTGCTCTTTACTGGACGATAGGATGCTGATGGATTTGAGAAGATTGATATGCGACGAGAGGCTGTTTGGTTTTGGAGGCACAAGTACTATAGCAGTACTTAAGTGCCTTCTGGATAGGAGTAGGAGAGAAACATTTTATAGAAAGTGACCCCCTCCATCGTTTCCCGTTTAATTATCCATCCAATCTCTCAGCCGCCTCTACAGATGTAGTGCCCGTAAGACATTAGCGGACAGTAATAATGTCGATCGATTCGTTCGTGCAGCCGCTAGCCTGCATTAGAGGCGGGGAGAGCCTCCTGGGCATGCTACCATTGGCTATCAAGCCTCAGATTTCCCCAGAAGGGCCCTTGCTCGCAGACTCCGTTTGCGAGGCAGCCTGTCACTATCGATTTATGGTAAATTGGTTTGGGGTCGAAGAACGTGGTCTTTTCAGGAGATTTGGGTTTCTTTCACTTGAGGTAGGTGAGTAGGTACCTATAAGAATAATGACTTTTGTAACCCCAAGCAGAGAAACTAGGGTACTAAGCCTCCACTAAGAGGCAAAGAGACGAAAAATCGACTGGCATCTGCAATGCCATATACAAGATCTTGAACTATATACGCAATCATCTACCCGTAGCATCATGAGGGACAGGAGATGCGTTTATCATGGGAAATGCCATATTTCTACAACATGAATATACCGGGATTTACACATGATTTAGGAGGCAGACCTACTATACCGTAAAAAACCCCAACAGCAAAGGTTTCTTTGCCCGAACCCAGGCCAGAGTCGCCCCCTACTCACAATTCCCTGCTATGATCACTCGTTTCCCTACTACTTTCGGGGTTCCCACTCCACCGTTGATAGATATGGTTTCATCCCCCAAGTTTCAGGCTTCGACTAGATCACATCACAGTCCAATTTCACTTCATTGACAGCTAGTAGTAGAGTAGCATCGTTGGACGTATGGAGCTGCGATTCTCCAACTAATAACTTTTCTGAGCAGGGTTCAATTTTTCTCACAACAGCCGAAGTCATACTCAGTCGAGGTAATTCCAACTGCAATGGTAGCCAGCCAATGCCGTGCCTCTCTGTACCGCAGTATGGCGAGAGAGATTATTATGGTATAGATGTACAGTGAAAGAGTCAAACACCACTTCGATCCGAAAAGAGAAACCTCACTAGACCTGTTCAGACATTAGCACCGCTTGGTTGGCTCCGCCTTTTATCTCTTTTGTCGCCCTCCTTTCCACCTCGTACTGCTCTTGCTGTGCTGTGCTGTAGTAGCGACCGAGGGATCTACACAGCACCAACCCAACTCGGAGATACATGGTGTCCTCGCGAGCTCCCTGAACAACCAGAGGTACCCCTCGTACTCGAGGACGGGAGTCAAGGACTCTCCTGTCAGTGGAAGACTAAAAGGTACCTAGGCGTGCTAGACCCCCCACACCGGTGTTGCGGTCCAGTGCTTGCTGCCACCGCTGCAGCTGGGACCACCTTTTGAACTGGGTTTATCCCCCTCTCCAGCTGTCTTGAAGTACTTTGCTCCGTCCCTGATCCCAATCCTATTCCTCACCCCATTTACCATTTACAGTGCACTACGCCCACTTCAGTCAACTCGTAAACGGCTCCCGTTGGACTTTCAGCCTAATCTTTTCCTCCTCAAACCTCGCTGTCTGTCGCGACGTTACCATCCAACCTCTCACCTCTACGAAACAGGCTCGGATTAGTCTCGACAATACCCTCCTTCGTCTTCTCTGTTGTTTGGCTTCAAGTTCACAACGGCTTTGCTTTGTCTCATCTTCGCCCGTTTCTACTCGACAGGGTCATCGCCCACTGTCACCTTGTGTATTGTACTGTGACCGTATCCAAACTCTCGACAATCGAGGATGCTGCGCAGTCGACCGCTGTTGCGTCCCTAGTTTGGTCATCGTCCTGCCTTGCGTCGTACTGTTTTCGAGTATTCTCTACAATCCACCGACCCGGCGCTGTGTCATCCATCGACACAAATCTGCAATCTATACCCATCCACCCACTCTAGACGTCCGACTCGGCGCAGCCAGAAAATATTTATATATAAAACAAAAGGAAACCAGCAAAAAATTTCTTTCTCCATTACTCAGCTGCGAATTAGCAGTCTACCTGCATCACCATGGTTGACGACGCGGCCCTCGCCGCTGCGGCTTCGATTGTCGCCTCGATTGCTCCAGATCCCCGTCTGCCCAATTCGATACCGGTTGGTGTAGCTTCTCAGGTGCAACTCCCAGGGCCAGATACCCCCGCCAAGCGCAAGCTCGAACTCGAGCTTCAGAACCTTGCTCTACGTGTTGGAAAGCTCGAGAGCCAGGCCTCAGCTACCTCTCCATTCCCAGAAACGCCCAACGAGGTTATTGACACTCTTTTTGGCGAAGAGGCTCAGGCTGTGGCGGTCCGTCCCAAGCCTAAAGTCTTTCACGCCCAAGGTAGCCTGCACTCTCCGCATCTGCCATCTTATCAGCTGACCGAAGAAGCCCTTGAAGGACTTCGAGAACATGTGGACGACCAATCCAAGTTACTCGATAGTCAGCGCCAGGAGCTCGCTGGTGTAAATGCTCAGCTCTTGGAGCAGAAGCAGCTACAAGAGCGAGCCCTCGAGATCCTCGAGCAGGAACGTATTGCTACTCTGGAGCGCGAGCTTTGGAAGCATCAGAAAGCCAACGAGGCTTTCCAAAAGGCTCTACGAGAAATTGGAGAGATTGTTACAGCCGTTGCTCGCGGTGATTTGACCATGAAGGTTCGCATGAACACTGTTGAAATGGACCCTGAAATCACAACATTCAAGCGCACTATCAACGCTATGATGGACCAGCTGCAAATATTTGCTAGCGAAGTCTCGCGAGTCGCTCGTGAAGTCGGTACCGAAGGATTGCTTGGTGGCCAAGCCCGTATCGGCGGCGTCGACGGAACATGGAAGGAATTGACTGACAACGGTATATTCACATTTCCCAAAGTCTTTCGTACCACAAATTGCTAACCGCCTGTACAGTAAACGTTATGGCCCAGAATCTTACTGATCAAGGTTTGCAACTTTGCCTAGATTACGAAATTGATATTCTGTGACTAACAAGTCTCTAGTGAGGGAGATAGCATCGGTTACCACCGCCGTGGCCCACGGCGATCTGACTAAAAAGATCGAACGACCTGCCAGAGGCGAGATATTGCAATTACAACAAACGATTAACACCATGGTGGACCAATTACGAACATTTGCTTCTGAAGTCACACGTGTAGCGAGAGATGTCGGGACCGAAGGCATGCTAGGCGGGCAAGCCGATGTTGGGGGAGTGCAGGGCATGTGGAACGATCTCACCGTCAATGTCAATGCCATGGCCAACAACTTGACGACTCAAGTGCGCGACATTATCAAGGTTACCACAGCTGTCGCCAAGGGAGATCTTACACAAAAGGTCCAAGCCGATTGCAGGGGAGAGATATTCGAGCTCAAGTCAACCATCAACTCCATGGTTGACCAGCTGCAACAGTTCGCCCGCGAGGTTACCAAGATTGCCCGTGAAGTCGGAACCGAAGGACGCCTGGGAGGGCAGGCCACTGTGCATGATGTTGAAGGCACCTGGAGGGACCTGACGGAGAACGTCAACGGCATGGCCATGAACTTGACCACTCAAGTGCGAGAAATTGCCAAGGTTACAACAGCTGTCGCCAAAGGTGACTTGACAAAGAAGATTGGGGTTGAGGTCAAGGGTGAAATTGCAGAACTGAAGAACACCATTAACCAGATGGTGGATCGTCTTGGTACGTTTGCCGTTGAGGTGAGCAAGGTAGCCAGGGAAGTAGGCACAGATGGAACATTGGGTGGACAGGCTCAAGTTGCCAATGTTGAAGGTAAATGGAAGGATCTCACAGAAAACGTCAACACAATGGCGTCAAATCTCACAGTCCAGGTAAGGCTCAGATGTCTACTCAGAAAGCTCAAATTTGACATGGTCACTAACCAAATCCTAGGTCCGAAGTATCTCAACAGTTACTCAAGCCATTGCGAACGGCGACATGAGCCAGAAGATCAAGGTCGAAGCAAATGGAGAGATACAAGTGCTGAAAGAAACCATCAATAACATGGTTGACCGTTTGTCTAGCTTCTGTTACGAAGTGCAGCGAGTTGCCAAGGATGTGGGTGTTGATGGAAAGATGGGTGCTCAAGCCGACGTAGGTGGTCTAGACGGCCGCTGGAAAGAGATCACCACAGATGTCAACACAATGGCCAGTAACCTGGTGAGTAATCTTTGATGCCCTTGCGGGAAACCCATTTTCTAACTCGTACAGACTACACAAGTGCGCGCCTTCTCAGATATAACCAACTTGGCCACCGACGGGGATTTCACCAAGCTAGTCGACGTCGAAGCATCGGGTGAGATGGACGAGCTCAAGCGCAAGATCAACCAGATGATTTCAAATCTGCGCGATTCTATTCAGCGTAATACTCAGGCCAGAGAAGCTGCCGAACTTGCCAACAAGACCAAGTCAGAGTTCCTCGCCAACATGTCCCATGAAATTCGAACGCCGATGAACGGTATCATCGGAATGACTCAACTGACATTAGACACCGATCTGACTCAATATCAGAGGGAGATGCTTAACATTGTCAATAATCTTGCCAATAGCCTCTTGACGATAATTGACGATATCTTGGATCTTTCCAAGATTGAAGCTCGGAGAATGGTCATTGAGGAGATTCCTTACACACTGCGTGGAACCGTCTTCAATGCCCTCAAGACTCTCGCTGTCAAGGCAAATGAGAAGTTCTTGGATCTCACCTACAAGGTCGATAGCTCCGTGCCTGACTACGTTATTGGCGACTCCTTCCGTCTCAGACAAATTATCCTCAACCTTGTTGGCAATGCTATCAAGTTCACAGAGCATGGTGAGGTCAGCCTAACGATCAAGGAGAGCATGGGGCAAAACAATGTCCGACCTGGAGAGTATGCGGTTGAGTTTGTCGTGGAGGACACGGGCATAGGAATCGCCCAAGATAAACTGGATTTGATCTTCGACACGTTCCAACAAGCGGATGGTTCCATGACGCGCAAGTTTGGCGGAACAGGTCTAGGTCTATCTATTTCGAAACGACTCGTCAATCTCATGGGTGGTGATCTCTGGGTAAACAGTGAACATGGCAAGGGCAGTGAATTTCACTTCACATGCTTAGTCAAGCTTGCTCCTGACGATGCTGCTCTGATCGAGCAACAGATCCGCCCCTACCGAGGTCATCAAGTGCTATTCGTCGACAAGGCCCAGTCGCAGAACGCCACCTCAATCAAGCCTATGCTTGAGAAGATCGGGCTGAAGCCTGTCGTTGTGGATTCGGAGAAGAGTCCTGCGCTGACTCGTCTTCAAAGCGGTGGCTCCCTTCCCTATGATGCTATCCTCGTCGATTCCATCGACACCGCGAGAAGGTTAAGAGCCGTGGACGATTTCAAGTACCTTCCTATCGTCTTGCTGGCACCAGTTGTTCACGTTAGTCTGAAGTCGTGCTTGGATCTGGGAATCACGTCGTATATGACCACGCCATGCAAGCTCATTGATCTAGGAAATGGCATGATTCCGGCTCTCGAGAACCGGGCGACACCTTCACTCGCTGACAACACGAAATCTTTCGAAATTCTGCTCGCCGAAGACAACACCGTCAACCAACGATTAGCAGTGAAAATTCTCGAGAAGTATCACCATGTGGTAACAGTGGTTGGCAACGGCTGGGAAGCTGTCAAAGCCGTCCAAAGCAAGAAATTCGATGTCATTCTTATGGATGTACAAATGCCGATCATGGTAAGTATCAACATCGTCAAACTCAATCCTCGCAGTCATCGCGCAGACAGATTAACTAACGCTTCTGATTATAGGGAGGCTTCGAAGCCACGGGCAAGATTCGAGAATACGAACGTGGCATAGGGAGCCATCGCACACCCATCATTGCCCTAACGGCCCACGCCATGATGGGTGACCGAGAGAAGTGTATCCAAGCTCAGATGGACGAGTATTTGTCCAAACCCTTGCAGCAAAACCATCTCATCCAGACGATCCTCAAGTGCGCGACGCTCGGCGGCCCTTTGCTTGAAAAGAATCGTGAACGGGAACTGGCACTTCATGCCGAGACGAAATCGAAGCACAAGGAGGGGGGACAGGGTCTGCTACGACCCACACTCGAGAGCCGCTCATTCACGAGTCGAGAACCTCTGTTGGGAAATGGCAAGGAGAGCCCTGCCATTCTGGCTACTGATGAGGATCCCCTGGCAAGAGCACGTCTTGACCTCTCTGATATGCGAAGTCTTACCAACTAACTGGTTCTCGCATTTCAGGCTTTCATGAGATCGCTCAGTCAGTAACGAGATGACGATGGATCAAATGCCTACGTCCGTCATTGCGAAATACTACTGCACATTGTGAGGCAACCAGTTGAGATTCACCGCAGGGTCTTTTCCGGTCACCACACCACTCCTGTGCCCCTCGTGGATTTTATGACAATACCAACTGTCTATCACGGGAGCTGGTGCATGAACTGGCCATGACCGACATGGAGTTCACGAACTTGAGGCACTGGTTGATTAAGCGACAGCGAATCATGATACCTGGCAAGGTCCAAAGCACTATGTCTCGGCGTTTCTCACCTTCCATTTGCTTAAGGCTTGAGATGGACATAATTCTTTTTTATCGCATTATATTTGTCATGTGGCGTTTCTGGGGTTTTCATGGGAGGACGATTACGTCAAACTTCCTGCAAAGAAGGACGTTTATCGATCCAGTTGCTCGTAACAACGACGTATATCGATTTAGATGAACATGATCCGACAACAAAAACATAAGTATACGATACATGTCGGCGACCACAGTTAGAATAAGGAAGGGACGATTGGAGAAGGGTCACTCGAGGATGGGGGGTTTCACATGGATTGCTGTTTGATCTTTTGCTCTACGGGTTTGCTCATCGCGTTTTGTCCGGTTTTTCTCTGCTTGTTCATGTTATTATTTCATTTTGCCCTTCTATACGGGGCTGGACATGAGCCTCTGAGCTCGAGGAGTACGTGGGATCGAAAGATAGGTGAGAGAATAGGGATGTCTTTTCAACGAAATAGGGAATGATTATCAAATGGCCGCTACCGTCCAGATATTTCAGGCATAAGAGTCTTTGGGGAAGAGACTGATGAATGGCTTGACACCCTGCTTCCCTTGTCTTGTCTACTATGTGAAATAATGTGAAGCCACTGCTCGAACTGGTTGGTCGCTTAGGTTGCATCCTTTTCAATCTTTTCTGCGTCGCCATTAGCACCGTCCAGTGATCTGCCCTTCTGATCTTTGTCTGCAGCTCCCGGGGAGCTGTTGACCTTAGCTGCGGTGGCGGGCATCTGTGGGGTTTCTCTGGCTTCTAAAGCAGCGAGGATGGCATCGAGTCTGCTCTCAAGGTTTGAAAGATTATTCTCAAGCGCTGTGGCCGCTTGCTCGCCTCTATGGAGCCTTTGTGTCAGTTGCGGTTCTTAAAAATTCGCTCTTAGAGTTTGATGCCAGAGTGGCAGGGAGGCGAAGGTCATGTCAAGGGTAGTGAGGTGTGTAGGAACAGGAACGACTGCGTCATGCAAGCTGTGAAGATATCGTGATACGTCTATGCTAGGGATGCTCGCCTCGCTTGCGAGTCACCAAGACAGCCCAAGAACTTATATAACCAATGAAATGCATGTCGAGCGACTTAAGAACGTAGTGATACAAGGGCCAGGAGGCAATCGGAGACTTCCTTCACCGACGAAGGGACTGTACAATCCGGGAGATGCAAGGGTAGTGATGGGTGATTATCGGTGCCAATAGATGCCGATCTCCCGAGGACCTTGTTCAGCTGAGGTTCTTGAGATTCAGATTCTGAAAAATGGCATTTTGAAAATCGCCATCGCCATGGCTAAACGCTTTGGCCATAGCTAGGTGTCGGGCACGCCGGTAGGTGAATAGATCTGTGAACTGAGACTCAAGTCAAGGGATCTAGAGGCCGAGGAGTTTTTCGTTGCATGCAGGGTCCGACCAAAAAGTTGGACGGAAGCAATTCAGGTGATTTGATGGCAAATGGTGGCAAGGAGAATGTGTAAAGCAGAAATGCGAGAGTGGGAAGGCCGTGGATGGGAAGGATAGGTCGTGTGAGAGGGAGTGTGAATGTGAATAAACAGTGAGATGAACTGGAGAATGACGTTGAACTTTGGAATAGTATACCTGGCAAGGTCTCGGTAGGCCTGGAACAGAAAATTGTCAGTGAACGGACATGCAATATTATGCAATGCAGTGCAATAGCGATAGTGAGGGATAGATTGACAATGAGAGTAAACGGGAGGGTGTGTGAGCAGAAGAATGCTGACAACAAAATAGTGATATGATACCGGTATTCCCCCAAGGTCCAACCAGCCCCAGGATCCAGGGATCAGAGATGCAGAATGCAGGATGCCAATGTGAATGCAGATGCAAATCAGGAGGGTTCGACTCGTGGCAGCCAAGCGAAGCGAGAAGGTCTCGACCAACTGGCTGGGTCTAGCTAAGGTATAAAACGTTCCACGGGCAGGCCGGGTCTAGACTTTTTGGGGTGGGAATAGACAGGGAATCAATGAATGGCATGTTGAGGAATGGTATTGAGATTGGGGAACAGAAAGAGCATTATTTGTGACGCTTGGTTGTCAGATCGAACAACCGGTAAACAAATCGAACAAATATATCAACGATCATCTCGGCCATCATGGTGTTGTTTTGCTGCTATTCCGTAATTGGAGAGAGGGCAAAGTGTGTCATCCCCACACGTTTTTGTTTGTTCTTTTGGAGCGGCAAACTGATATCGGAGCAACATATGTAGGAGAGTTCAAAAAAAAAGAAAAAAAGATCATGACTTGACTCACCTGGGCCAAATCGGCATCCCCCGAACTTGAACCCGAGGCCGGAGGCTTTGTGGCTCGGTTGTTTGTGTCAGATGGGGCCATGGTGTTCAACTTCCTTTTTGCCGTCTAGACAGAGGCAAGTAATCAACGACAAGGAATAGGCAGGTCTTCAATGCGATGATTGGTTGAGCGGAACGAAGCAATTACCTCGTCTCTTGGTGGCCGTGGATGATATTGTTTGCGCTGTTTGTTGTGAGAGAACGGAGAAACTGAGGCTGTTCTGAAAAGAGCGGGCTGACTTTCGGTCCACATCCAATGATTGCGCTTGCTAGTGGTGGGGTTCTCGCGTGGGCAATCACCTTAGCAGCTCAGGTGCTGCTGTACCCTCTGCACCCACAAGCCTAACCTAAGGGTATAACCGTAAAGATCCATAGGTAGGTACGGATAACAGTAAGCCAGTGAAGAACTACTAACATCCAATTGTAGGTGCACTTTACAGTGGCCCTCTCGTGGAAATCTAATCAATACAATACCTTAGGTTGGTCTCAGGGGCGGCTGTAAAAGCACTTCTGCGTAGTACATCCTGCGAATAATAGCCCGCACAGCATCGAGTGACATGCCATGGATGCCGCCAATTGTCTGGAAAGGAGAATATCTGAGATTATTGCATGCCTCAAGTCACAACTCAGTCGCGTATACGGTATCTCAAAGTGGGCAATGCAGATAGTGATGGGGATATGGCAAATTTGGGTCTAGAACAATATCTCGATCCCGATTTTGACGGGCGCGAACACGGGCCGTCGAATGCGTCCATGGAGAGGAGAGAAAGGGGTGGCTTGTCAATGTCAACCCACGAGAGACACTGAACAAGGGGTAGTTGAGCCTCGACTCTATTCATGAGCACAGACAACAATGACCACATTGGTCCAAACAATCGAGCAGGGACGGTGGGATTTTTTTTTTGCAAGCTGATGCCATCTATTATTGATGATGGGCTGTGGATACGAAGCTCATTAAACAACTTTGCAAAGTCTTCTCACATGAGCCAGACATATCTGGGAGGCTGGTATTGCCCTCTCAGAGATATAAGTTAAAGAATAGGTTACTACTATAGTTGGTTACTCCGTACTTCAGGTTTACTTGCCTCAATGCTCGGTAACAAGGAGATATCCCGAACAAACTACCTAGCAACGTGTCTTAGATCCGTGTGAAACTTTCGTAATTCCCCCATTATTAGGCACCCGTAATAAGAAAACACAGGAAGATATTATCCGAAGAATGAAGGTTGAAATAGATAGTTTCCTGTAGTTTTTGATTAAAGGTATGAGTGCCGTGGCGGATCCATGGGCTCGATCGATTCGTCTAGACACATGCAACACATGCGCCACAGGCCTGGACCACGACGGATGGCGGTCACAACATGATCTGGGCCATTGTGGGTCGCCTCAAGACAACCGCAGCTGAGATTTTGGCATCAACGAGGGAGTGAGGAGACGGTTGTCAATATTGTTGCCAGGCCGAAGCAAAGCGACCGATCTACTGTGTCAAGGCGTTGGGCCTCTGAGACCAAGAGACAGATAACTGAAGCTGTTGTGAAAATTGCAAAAGTAGCTGAACAGGCGTGGGTACGACCATGATATATGCACCCAACAAATCTCCTTTGGAATCTCATTTGGTCCGCATTTACATACGCATCAAAGTCGATGGCAAACCAACACGCCAGATCTCAACGTGCAGCTGCGTTACCACACAGACTCTAAAAAGGGAATGTACTTCGTGAAGAGGAATTCTTGGAGTATGCCATGAATACGTGCTTACATTTATGGGATGTACAGTAGGTAGTCGCTCTATCTTTATCCACTCCGCTAATAGGAAATAGTCAAAGTGTCTCTGAAACTCTCCGATCAACTAGGCTGACTGGGACTGGCACAAACCGGTGGAGTGCGCTGACAAGCCTGCAAGCTTGTCTTTGGCTATCGATCGAACTCGCCGCTCGCATCCATGTCTATGGCTGGGGTTCTAGATTCGACTGCGACCTACCAGCCCAGGTATCAGAGTGCCCCAGCACGATCAGTTTCGTAAATCGGGCGACTCTACTCGCAGTGTTGCATGTGGAGACGAGCACAGCAGCAGTGAGCGTAGCAAGTTCACTTACCTAGGTATCCAACAATCCGATGCCTAGGTACCTAGATAAAGAAGGCCAGTTTGATGGTGTACAGGCCCCCCGCCGGTGCAAAACGGGCTACGGAGATTTCTTCGATAGGATCCATCGATTTACATAAACCTGGCTTGGCTACTCGGGGTAAGTTAGTTGCTGATCATTTCCTATGTTTTATCCGATGCGATTCCGTGTTCAAGTGCTGAAATACAAGTCCCAAGATGGTAAAATCATGTATACACTCATAATCTGAACTAGGTACCTACTATACTTATAGCACCTAGTAGGTGCCTAAGGCGTATACCTCTCCTGAGGTACCTTCGTTTGTAACTTACCGTACCTTAGTACCTGTGTGCAAACGTGTCGAATGTGAAGAAGCAAAAAAGCGCTTACGCCCGGCCAATCAGATAGAGCAACAGCTAGCTGGAACCGATACCAAGTAGACTGGGATTATATTATACCTAGGCAGGCACAGAGGAAGATTAACAGGACATCCGGGAATAATAGCCCAGGAAAGCGGACTCGAAGCGGCCCCTTCCATGCACTCTATGCAGGGTTTGGACAGGAACCAACCAACTGCCTCTCTCCCTACCAGTTAGTGCACACCCTTTCCAAAGATCAGATATGTCCATTGCCCTGTCAGCCTATGCCCAGTGACCCTAGCATAATCCCATCACTTACACTTCGTTACTTACTCCCGTTAACGTTCTAGACTCAACATCGTGGAGAAATATTCGCCTTGATGCGCTTTACGCGACTCCGGGGAGTCGGTCATGAGCGTTTATTTTTGACATCAACAACCACAATGCCCGAAACCTTTCGGGCACTGTAGCCTTCATATCTGTCTACCTAATCGGAGGCGGACGTTGGAGATGCAGCCAGTCAGCCCAGGTAGCTCAGCCTCCTTCAATCCTCCAGGCGCCTAGTATGGCTAGTTAGGCTGCTGTCATAACAGCAGAGCACATACCGCCGGTAGTCTTTCGCTTCTCCCGAGAAAACCGGGGATTTTTGGATTCTGCGAGCTTAAAGCTTATTGGCTCAGCGACACGGACTATGCTCCGTGACCCTTTCTTTACATCATTCTTGACTTGCAAAACTGAATATTAGGCCATGATCAATTTCGCGATCGATCAAGATATCGCCAACTCAAGCTCAATATAATGGCCAAGGTGGCACAGTCCGAATAAGCCTCTGGGATCGAAACGAAAGATGCATGGCTGAATGGCTAAAGGGGGAGGCGTTACATTGAACGGGGAGCCGGCCACTCAATCCGTCACTATTCACCAATCCCAGGGCTCTGAGGGATCGAGATTCTAGACCCTTTGTCGAATTCCCATCCCGCTCATGGCGATTTTACCACCAGCTTTCGATTCACAATTACCGACACTACGTATTGTGGCTATCGAATGTTTTCAATGCCATCTGAGTGGCCGGACGATGAATAATCCCATCTTGCACATCTCGGTCGTTGATAGCCATTAACTTGCTACCTGTGAACTATCGCATACCCACTAAAAGCCACTATGCCTAATAGAACCAACTATCTTCCTCAGCTTCGGCTCGTCAACGCAGCAAATACCCAAATGGCCCAAACAGAATTAGACTATCAGAGCACCGGAGAAACAGAATCAAAGGAGGACTGCCGGAGATCGGTCGTGCGCTTTCACTCTGGATGACACTGCCCCATCATGGTAGAAAGGGAAAACACATGATGCCTTGGAACGAGTTCCAATATGCGTCATTCGACTTGAGGCATCAACCATCTGCGCAACATGACGAATTCTGGCGGCTGCACGAACGGACTTCCCAAAGACGTCGGTGGCCGTACCATGTGGCCCGTGAAAAGGGGACCTGGGGCATTTCTGAGCAAGCAGATCACCTGTTGGCGCGGCATCATAGGCGATTCGATCAAGGCCCTGCTCGATCATGGTGAAGTTGGAGTTCTGGCGTTGTGCGATCAGTAAGCCAAACCTCGATTTCAACAAAGGCGATGGCTCGATGGCGATCAGGAACAACCCACGAGCGGATTGTGGACAGCCCAGGGCGTGCGTCACTAATACCGGCTCCACACCCCCGGCTCGCAATAGCTCCGACCACCAGAACTCGACCCAGAAACTCCGTTTTAGTTAACCCACAACCACCTGGCTACCGACGAGCGTTGCCATTTGTAGAACAAGCTCAACTTCAACCCTGACCGTCCGTCTGTCACGCTTCTTTTAGCTGGTTGATGTGCACCGTCTCGGCGAGTTTCGAAGATCTTTGAGCCAGCTGCAGAGGAGGATGGGGAGACCACGTCCAAGAGCGTGACATTCTCACCCCATCACCCAGTCATCCCGTATCGTACCGTACGGGAGGCCACGACCGTTTCACGAATTGGGATCGAGATCTTACCCGTTACAGGTTCTGAGCTGCTGCGCTACCGACATGCTCCTGAGTTCGAGGGCTGGCAAAGCCTGGTGTGGACGGGTGACGCATGTAGCCAATGACTGTCATCTTGCCGTGTCGGGGCAAATCAATCAATCAAATTGACGGTTGATCGTCATGCCAAATTGCCTCTTTCTGAATAGAGGATGCGATGCGCCAAACCCCATAACAGGCTTGCCCACGTCCTTGGAACATCATGATGGGACCGCACGCTCTGTGGAACATCAAACAAACACCAGCAGCATCAGTATCAGCATCAGCAGTAGCAGCAATGGTGTGTATCTTTTCGATGAGTGTCGATTTCCATCCGACTTTCGATTTGGTGCTCCCATCTCAAGCACCGCGTCGCATTTTCCTCTCAACACATCCGTCCATCCATTCATGGATGGCTCTGCTAGAACTCACAGTCACGGGCACCAGTAGCGTTGCGTTGTGTTGCGTTGAAGCGACATCAATATGCCCATGGTCCCAGATATCGTTCATGAATGCGTCAATTGGACCAATTTGGGGCATCTCGATGTTGTCTAGGTGCCGCCCTATCGTATACGTAGCCCGATGACAGGGCCTCGGGGGTCCACGCTTCTTGTTTTCGACCCATCTCGAGTCTGAACTGCATTTCTGTACGTACGTTGCTTAGCAATGTTCGTGCCAATTGTCCATAATTCCCAAGACCTAATATGATGGATGATGGACAATGATGATAATGCCCCGGTGTAGAATCGGCCCTTGCATCATTCATCTTTCTCGAACGTCAAAACTTGATACGCTCTATAACAGAAAAAGAAAGAGGCTGCGGATCAACAGCCAGCCCAGAATTTAAGAGACAAGCGTGCCAAGGCTGTGTGCCCTTGACGGAAGATTAGACATACACCCTTCTTCCATACACGTCCACGCCCCCTTTAGGTTGAGTTGTGAACTGACTGGGCTAGACCATGCCCTCCTAGTTCTCTTGGAGCCTCTGAACAACAAGACCCCCCCGAAGCGAGTGCCATGTAGGAATCTGATGTTTCTGCTCTTTTTCTGCCACTTGAACTCTCACGATTCTATCATCGCTTCCGAAACCCTGCTTTGCCTATTCCCATTCAACTAATCGTATTTATTCTTTTGCCGGTGGCTGCGGCACCTCCGACTCTGCCCCGTTTTCCCCTGGACCCTGTCTCTACCTCCATCTACATACAGCATCTGGATCCCACGATGCCCTGAACGAGAATCCCCCATCCCAATATTGGCTTTAACACCAGCTCCCCACAGAGCAACTCATCTTTGACCTGTCTTTCTTCGGCAGCCCTCACACCCCCTCCCGTATGTCCACGACTGAAGCCCCGTCCCTACAGTCTAATTCTTATATTCGTCCTGCCTTGCCTTGCCTGTCTTTTGACTCTCACGCTCGCGCACACGCCAACAAGAGCCTAGGTCCAGAACATTTGATCCTCAACCGACCTGCAGCCAAACCTAACCCGGAGCCTGTCCCCTTGGATCTGTCACCTCACAGTCGTCTCATAAGTTTCAGTCCGAAGATCACCTGCCAATCCACGTCTCGTCACTATCCTCGACATCTATCCCAGACGAGGTCTTGCGCCGCTGACAGACCGTGAGCTTTCATTCTTCTCTCATCGCGGTTGGACACAATACCCTTCCCTCAACCCACCACCCACCACAGCACAGCACTTGCTCTTTGCAATCGAGATATCCGATTCCGCCTGTTGTCTCTGGGGGTGCCCGTAACTGCACTTCACTCCCTCTCGAACTCATCTCATCTATCCAACCTACTTGCTCGCCCTCTGTTGTTTCCCTTTCCTTTGAGTTTCCAGCTTCTGCCTCAGAAAACTCTTTTCTATTCATCGTTGTGGCTTGTCAATTGGCAAAGAATAACAACCCTTCACCATATGTCCCAACTCTTTTCTTGTCCAAGGTCCGCTGCTCACCAATTGTCCGGCCCAATATCATTACATCTTGCTTGTACGTGCCTCCTATTTCTTTCGTCATTCTCCTACACCCCCTCCCCTTACCCTCTGCATATTCACCAAAGACTTTATGCCCTTCAATCCAATCATCAGGCCCTCTGCCTCTCGATCCTTGAGTTTATCACTCCTGTGTTGCCCAAGATCTCCGTTCCACGTCCGAACCTCCTCACTCATCACACTTGATCGATCACTACCCACCGAAGATCCAAAGCCTCATTCCCGTATTCTGAAACTTTTCGAATGTAGCATAACGTCTTGTTACTCCCAGATTCTTGCCTAACATCACTCTCACAGTAGCTCCTTGTTGAGCCACCCAGCTTGAACCGACATCGTCAGTTCACCATATCTCAGTGCCAAACCCCGCGTTTCAAAACCCACCCATTTTCAGTTATATCCATCCATCAACACAACCAACCAGCAAAAAGGACCATCAAAGGCCTCATATACCAGTGGTTAACACATTTGTATAAAAGACGTACCCGAACATATCACCAGACGCGCACTGGACGCATCCTCGACGCATTAAACAAGCTTGATCACTTGATAACATTGCTTGTTTCTTGCAATTTGTAAAGCACTCTAGCCACTTGTACCTGGGACGAAGTTGAGCTGTCACACTGGCACCAATTAATAAAAAAAAAAACTGTTTGTCTTTGGAGGGAGGTTCCCCGGAACTTTCCAACTGGGCTGTATGTCTCCCGATCTTGAGTCAATTTTTGCCGAGTTGGGATTGTCCCAGTATCTTGGTGCATTCGTTGAGCAAGGTTTCGATGAGTGGGATATCATTCTTGACATCCAGGAGTCAGATCTGTATGTTTCCTTCTTGCTGGACTGATTGCAACACGTCCACTAACAGCCTTCTTCAGAGATGCACTGGGTGTCAAACTAGGCCACCGGAGGGTATGGTTCCTGTCACCGCCTACTCAGGCAGCCGCTAATGCAATTTCTTTTAGAAGCTCCAGAGAAGGATAGCTAATGCCCGAGGCATTTCCCCATCGGTGTCATTGGTGACTTCTGTCAGACCAACCAGTGAGGATGCAAAATCGGATAGTGTGCAACCTGAGCCCACTCGGACGGAACTACCGCCCGAAGGACAAGGTGTTGCCAAGCGAAAGTATCGGCGTCACCCTAAGGTGAGTTGAACTTCTTGCATTTCTTAAGTGGCGACTTGATGACTGACAAGGTACCAGCCTGACGAGAATGCCCCTGAGAGACCTCCGTCAGCATATGTATTGTTTTCCAACAGTCAGTTCTGCCCTGACTCACGCGCTCGTTGTTCGCGAAGAATTACTGACAAACGATGAAAAGAAATGAGGGAAGACTTAAAAAGCCAAAATCTCACGTTCACAGAAATTGCGAAACTCGTCGGAGAGAATTGGCAAAACCTGAATGCAAGCGAAAAGGAGGCATACGAAAGCCAAGCAAATGCCGATAAGGAGAAGTACCACCGTGACTTGATGGAATACAAGAAAACGGCCGACTATCGGAAGTATATGCAATATCTCCACGAGTTCAAGGAAAAGCAGGCCAAACGTACTCAAGGTTTGTAGCCAGATGGCATTAAATCCATCACACGTTGGCATAACAGTAAAACTGACATCCCACCGTTGGCTAGCCGATGTCTCTAAGAGGACAAAATTGGATCCCGTTCGGTTACGACACAGCAGCAGCAGCAGCAGCACCATGACACCGGGGGGCAACACTTCGAGCGGCAGTGGTAGCGAGAGGTTACAGGGTAGTGAGCCACCACCTTGTCGGCGAGAAAGGTTGAATTCGATTGCATCGATAGCTGAATCGCAGCATTCATCGACCACGCCAACTCTTTTATCCCAGGCTAACTCGAACGACGAGACCATGTCATCACCCCAGGCCGCCCACTTCGATGCTGGAAGTCCACGGGAACCCCATTACCAAGCTCCCAAGCGCCAGCAGTCCTGGCGAGAAGGAGGTCGGGGGGTAGAAGTTTCACATCAACATCTACCATCGTTGTCCAACATGCTCGAAGATGGCAGGAAAGGGATGCAAGTCCCATCCGGGTCGGAAGGGAATCCTTATTCGAGTGGTTTTGTTGCCGCGAACTACCCTAGGTCGGTACCCGAAGTCCCCAACGTGCTTCCATCGGCGCCGCCCAAGCCCCCTCTCCTCCGACACGAGCCGTCTTCCAGCAGCAGTATTGGTTCAGTGAGTCCAGCAGCGGGCTTTGCACGGACTCCTGGCGAAGGACCACTCCCAATACACGCTCTCCTTTCCCACCATCAGACGCTGCCGACACCAGTTGTTGCCGCCAACGCGGCCATGTTCGAACGGGGTTCTCCTGTTTCCGGATTGGGTACTGGTACGACGACTCCAAGCCCAACAGACCCTGTGCCACTCGTAAGGCCATATTTCGGCCACGGCGTCGTGCCCAGGGGATATGGTACTTGAATCTCTGGAGGCTTCGTTAAGAAGTCCAAGCTAACTCGGCTCTCAAGGCTCTCAACCATTGCCGCCCACTGGGCCTCCAGCCAGGAATGACGAATATATGGCGGACAGCGATGTGCCAATGACGCCGGCACCTGATCTGATCGCCCCAATCGAGGATCGCTCCTTCAAGACTCGCCTCGATGGCATGAGCGTCTTGCTAAGAGCTGGTGAGCTTGTCGAAAAACACGAACGAGACGAACGACGATGAGGAGCGACGACAATGAAATTATGCTCGTAGCATACTGTTGGTGTATTCGACACCAAAACGCTTGTATCCAGATGTTTCGAGATGCAGCTTACTCACCCCCGAGGACCCCTTTTGTTTCTTATCTTATCGGATACCCACGCATGATGACGTAAAGTCTTTTCCATTTCATGATTCGGTCTTTAGGTGGATTGTGGTACACATGAATGAGTACCTATAATGGCTGCTGTGGTAATATCGGGTCGCGCAGTCGCGGATTCTGGCGTTAGGGGCTTGAACTTTGGGTTTAAAAGAGGGTTGAAAGGATCCAAAAATAGCATTCGGAAGTCATGAGGAATTTGACTGGTGCATAGTTGAAAGGTTATCCCTGTCGTAACTGGATTCGAGGGCATATACTCCATGGTTTTCTGGTGTGAAACGAATTAGGTATTACAAGAAAATGACCAGGAGTTAAATTAGTATGGAAACGTACTGCAGTACCAATGCCAAGTCATGACATGTTATACATGAGTGAGTAGCGCATGTCCACATCGAGAAACCAGATTGGTGTTCTGATTCAAGGGATTTTGCAGGTGTGAGACCACCACCAGATCATTGCGGCGAGAGAGGGGCAGTCCCGGGATCTTAGTATTCAAAAGACAAGGGAGGTTGTCGATTAATGTGTATTGTATACCTGTACTACAGACATGTGGCTGGATAGCTGCTATGTACATGTGTAGTTCATAGTAAATCGAAGCAATAGGTAGGTAAGTGAGTAGATAGGTATGGCGAGGCCAAAGATGAGAAAAAGGAGAATGAACGAAATGAAGAGAACGAGAAGATCTCAAGGGTCCTTCCTTATTAGACTTATCTACCTTAGCCAGTTGCTTTTGTTCTTGTTCTCTCTTCTGTTTTGCCCCCCACAATTTATCAACATCGTCATAAGGGTCCAGTTCGCAACCCGTTTCAACGTCATGGCGCAGCCACAATAGCCCATGAGTGGGTCTGAGACTGGGATATGAGGTACGTACCCGACTCGAGGGTTACCTGCCTGGGCAGTACTTAAGGTACCTTGTCTAAGTAGGCGCCTACCCAAGGTACCATACAATCATAGAGATCTTGAGTAGGACTCTATCTGTTATCTGTGCAAAGGTAAGGTAATCAGGACTTGGTCTTGAACACATGAGCTGAAAACTTTTGCTCTAGGGTCCCTATATGAGTTGGTTTGTAATAATTCTCTTCGCATGTGCGTTATTAGCCCCCATCTCTCTGCAATCTTCAGTACTTACCCAGGTAAACTAACTGGCTTGTGCGGCTAAATTCCCTTCAGACATGGGAACTGGAAAAGTCAGCTATGAGGTGAGTGTCATGCTGCAGATATCACTGTAGCGTTAGCGTATTGGATTAGATGATAGAATGGCGAATTTTCTGCCGTTGATTTTCCAGCAGCCACGAGAATAGGATATGGATGTCAGGTCAGGTTGCCATTGACCAAGGTATTATCATTGAGAAAACTTGGATACGACCCAAGAGACCACAAAAGCTCAATCACTCAAGAATTTAAACTTGCTTTCTTCATACTTGAAATTAAAGGAACCCCGCAACAAGAGGCTGCAAATTCAAGAACCACCACCTCATCTTCCAGTCAGCATCCACATGGTATAAAGCAAAGCTCATGAATATGACCAATCAATCATTCCGTCGTGTCCTTCATTCAAAACAAGTACTCTAGATGTTGTTACTGTTGACTTCTCCCCCCAACGCCAGGATATCACGTTATCTTCCATGCCATGCCATACCAGACCAAACCATACCATGCATTGCTATGTGTCTCTTGAACGATTCCGCAAGCATCTCATGCATGACTCGTCAAACAAACAAGTACATGGCCACTCCCAAACATACTCAAGACAAGTGTTGACATAGTTCAAAACCGCTCCCGCTATTCACCCTCGACAATCTCCGCTGACCAATCCCTGCGGATCTCAAGTTCCGACAGACCAGGTGTGTTGTCAATCACAAGACCCTTCTCATTGGCCAAGTGCAAGAGGCAGATAAAGCAGAATGAGGTTGAAATATCATCCATCACCGGCTTGGGATATACGGTCTGCAGATTGTTCATGATCTCTGTGAACTTAAGCGTCTCTTCTTGCTTAGGTTCGCTGACATCCACTGCTTGGGGCTCAGGCTGTTTCTGTAGTTAGATGTATTAGCATAATGCCACGTCTTCGTTTTTGACTGCATAATAACTTACTTGAAGAATGTCAACATCCATACCCTTCCACAACTCTTCCTTCAACCTTCGCACATCCACCTTCTTGGCTACCCTAGCATATTGCACATACTCGGGTCGTACACGCCTCGTTTGAGTAACCAGTGTCGTTCCGAATGCTCCAGTATTAGTTACTGTCTCTCCATTAAGTAGAGCCGTGAGCCCTCCGCCATCAGTGAGTCCAGCCTGCCCGTCAAGCCCTGGTGAGAAGTGCTCTCTTGCGTCCGCAAACTCTAGATCGTCGTCATCGTCCAAGTCACCGCCGCCGGGGAATGGCATAACATCGTCCTGAAAGAAGTTGGCATCATAGTCGCCTTCAGGCAACGCTGTCTCGTCTGTATGTTGCGGGGCCTTTTGGTTGGCCCAGAATGCTTCGTCCATTTCACCATCAGGTTGATTATCTGCACCGGTATTACCAAAGCCACCCCCACCGCGAGAGCTGAAGCCTGTGCGTCGTTTGCTCATCCGTGCCTTTGGCTTGAGGAACAGGCTTAGCAGAGACTTGGAGTTAAAGTGCTTGTCGTCGGGGAGAAGATTGCGTGACTTAGACTTCCAATCCTTCTTGGGCATGCTGATGGCCGAATTGTTGGTGGCCTGTGTATGAATGATATCCGAAGTGTGTGAATCCAGAGGTGCGGCAAAATCGATCTCAAAGGGTTCTTTCTCTTTGCGCTTCTTTGTCTCTGTTGCCGGCTTATTCACATCCTTGATCTTCCTGATCCTCCAGTGCTCCGCGCTCGCCCAGTTCTTCTGCAACGCCTGGTCGAAAAATCCAAGGATGTCCTCGTGCATCTTGTCCGCCTTCTGCGCGCTCGTCATCGAAACAACGTATTCACCGTTGTCGTCGATCTCATCCCCGTCACCACCCTCTTCGCCGAGACCCGCGTCGTACACTCGCATCTGTGGCTCCAGGGCGGCTTCTCTAGCCCAGGCCTCGCCGCCCTCACCGAAAGCGACATTATCGGCGGCATCGAAGGCTCCCAGGGCAAGGTCATCATCATCGAAGCCTGCTGCTTCGTCACCATCGATTACGAGACCGGAAAAGTCGCCAAGCGCTCCCGGGGTCTTTTCCTTGTCCTGGTCCTGTCTCCAATCTTCGGGTGCCTTCAGAAATGGAATATCCATGGATCCCGAAGGATCGCCAAGATCAAACGTCTTTAAAGAAGGACAAACATCAAGCTCATCGAGTCGGTGCAAGTCGGGGATGAACTTGGCACCAAGGACTCCAACATCGATTTCGACATCGTCGGCTTCCTCCTCATCTTCCAGCTCCTCCTCCTCCGGGTCGTTCTCGGCTTCCTCGTCTTCTCCGTCGCCCTCTTCGTCATCGGACTTCGTCTTTCCAAGGGTGGCGGCATCACCAGTATCGTCGCTACTGTCAAAGACGATACGTCCTTGTGAATCGATCATGAGATGGTTTAGAAGAAGACCCTTGGCGCCACCCTCATCAAAATCGGCAGATGCTTTTTTGAACAAGGGATCGACTGCGAATTCCAGCTCGAACTTTTTGAGCTGCAGCGAGTTGAACGAGGGGGCAAGCGTTGCTTCAGATGATCGTTGTGTCTAGTAAATGTTAGTTTGAACCTTTGAGGAGTGCCCGGATCTCTGCTATACCTTCTTCTTGGGCTTCTTTTTGACGTTGCCATCCTCATCGAGTTCTTCTTCGTCGCTCTCGTCGGCATCCTCGCCATCTTTGTCTTTCTTCTTGGCGTTGTTGCTATCGGCAAGGCCACTCAATAGCTTCCCTGTTTCCGTTGCGACGCTGTCCACACGGTTGGTGTAGATCTTGACGCATCCGTCCAAGGTACAACTGGCCTTTTGGAAGTTCACACCGTCGCCTTCCTTGAGGAGTGACATATCGTGAAAGTAGTCTATGAGAGCGAAGTTCCATGAATTTGTCGCATTGATTTTGTTGTCGGTCGCCATCTTCATCCATTCTTCGAAATTGGCGAGAAGCGGCACACGCTTCATAGGCGTGACCGCAGAACCTCCGACCACAAAGCCCTCATCATCTTCGATATAGCTGGCGCGGCCGCCGCGGGGAGTTTGGGGATCACCGTTCTCCATGTCGTCAAGGCGAAGGCCAACCTTGCGAGGAGTTGCGGCCTTCTTGATCTCGTTAAATTGTCTTTCGTGGAGAGCTCTCCTGGAGCTCATGCGCTGCCCCTTTTCTGACACATCGTCGTTGAGGGGGATTCTGGATAGTTGCATTAGCACACCGCAGTTGTTGCTGGGGAATCGATAACTGACTTGACGGGTGACTGCGTTATGAATGGTGAGGCCGTACTGGAGCCTGTGTTGTTCCTGGCACTCCCCGTCCGGGGAACTTGAGCAACTCGAGGCATTTTCAATTTGTTTGTGTGGGTTTTTGGGGGACAAAAAGGGCGTGTTTGGACGAGGCCTATCGCGTTGTCGTCGTTGTCGTGTTGCGGGACCCCCCTGGCCAAAGTAAACAAAATAAATGCCAACTGCTATGGAGGTAGCACGAGGGGCGGGCGGTGTGTGGGGTAACCTCAATGCTCTGTTATTGTTTAACCTTAGGCCTCAACTGTGGCTGGAGATTATAGCCACAGTGAGTCCCTCTAAGGTACGGAGGTACTCTCCGTCTGAAACGGAACATCACCGACACGGGACGCTGCCAAGGCAGGAACAGTCCAAACAACCCAATGGTAAGTTACCCCTGCCCATGCACCTTTATCCCGTCTGATCACCAAGTTTCCAGTAAGCACGTGGCGCAACCTAAAGCAAGCACGTTGAAGATGAGAAGCTTAACCAAGAGACGTTATACGAGTGGCAGAGAAGTCGGTGTACTGTATCGACCAAGGAACTCATCTTAACGATCAATCTGTCACTGGGAGCTCTGAACTGGATCAGCTGTGTCTTGGTGGCTCCTGCCAAACTTGGAGCTAATAAGGTAGCCACACCTCACTCATACACTAACTGTGGCAAGCACTCTGTTAGTCTAGGTTGTGTCTATCTTTGAACAACAGGCGGCCTCCCTTCGTCTTCGTCACCATCACCAAACTAGGTTGTAAGAAACCCGTCGCAAAGAGACGCTAAAATGCTGGAAACTGGATTTCTGCATGCTTCAAAAGGGAAAGTCGATGCATAATGGGGGATATTAAGATTCTCGATCACCGATCCACGATTCCCCCCTCGGTTAAGTTAATGTGTGGGAATGGGGCATGCCATGGACTTGGGAGCATGTAACGTCAAGATACGACGGATACTTTAAACCTTTAAACCTTACCTTATCTAGCACTGAATCCAATTCTTGTTCTCCAAACATTCCCTCTGCATCTTTCCTACTCCCCTCACTGAATCGCATCTCAATTTATATTCTCAAGCTTCATAAGACCCGTTCTTGGTCATTGTTTTTTTTTTTTTTTACAAGATCATAATGGCATCCAGAGAAGCTACTTCATGACATGACGATACCAATTCCAATATGACGAATACCACCCCCCGTGGGCTTCTCTGCCCCATCAGCGAGACTACCAAAGGTCCCAATGCGACTCCCAAACGGTTCCCCAGAGGCAGCCGCTTACAGTCTCGTCCTTTCTATACTACGGTCCTCCTTCTATCAGTCCTGACTGCATATTCGTTTCTGTCGCATACGACTTTCGCACAGTCCGTCTCAAATCGCGCGACAGATCCCGATCTGCTCTTCAAGCGCAGTTTCTCTACGGTCGAAACACCCGAGTGCAATCAAGTCCACGACGCCGAGGACAAATGCGCCTTTGTGCGCAAATACTGCAGCGATGATGATGCCGGGCTCATACACTATATTGAACTGTATTATTGCTCTTTCGGCAATGTAAGACCCATCGCATTCACAGCTCTTGTGCTTTGGCTGGGCCTCCTCTTCACCACCATCGGCATCGCTGCAAGTGATTTCTTCAGTGTCAACCTAAGCACGATAGCGACAGTCCTTGGCCTTAGCGAGAGTTTGGCAGGCGTCACATTTCTCGCCTTTGGCAATGGGTCTCCCGACGTGTTCAGCACCTTTGCAGCCATGGGCTCTAATAGCGCCAGTATGGCCGTTGGAGAGCTTATCGGCGCGGCAAGCTTTATCACAGGTGTCGTTGCTGGTTCTATGGCATTGGTGAGGGAGTTCCGTGTCGATCGGAAATCATACACACGCGATATTTGCTTCTTCATTCTTGCGGTCGTCTTCACCATGATCTTCCTAGCTGATGGCCACCTGCACTTGTGGGAGTGTTGGGTGATGATAGGGTACTATGGAGTGTATGTCGTTACTGTTGTAACATGGCACTGGTACTCCACGAGACGCAAGGCTAGACAACGCAGAGAAGGCGAAGCGCGCAGCCATGTGTATGCAGCCCTAGGTCACTCGGGGGACGAGTTGGCCGGCGAGCCATATAGAGACGACCCAGATGATGTTGGCTCGGGCCCTGGCACTGCGCACGCTACGCCGCCTGATATCTCGCTCCTTGAAGCCGGACCCAGGATCGAGGTTGACGGTACGCCTCAGCGAGCTGAAAGCGACACGTCTAGTGAAGACCATGACCGCATGGTTGCAGCCGAGGTTGCCAGCAGCATGCGAGTTCTGCGAGGTCGTGGAGTTAGACGAAACACAATGACGCCCATCCGACCTAGTCTTGTAGGTGCACTGGAATTTCGGTCTGCTTTGGCGCAGCTACAACGCGAGGGTAATTTACAGCTGTCCACGATCCCAGGAAGAAGCTACTCGGATTATCATGTGCACAGGCGCAGGCAGACCACCGCAACAATCGCAGAATCCGCTCGGTCTGATGGTCAGTTGGACCCAAACATGGGTGAGCACGCGCCCATAAGGAACAGAGCACTCTCTTCTGGAGACGTCCCAGTCGGTGTGCCTGCTCACCCGGATCTACATATTCCACGCCGCAACGGTTCCGAACCGACCTTGTCCGTTCCTGGCTCAACAGCCAGTGGAACAAGGGCATCAAGCCCCAGCCCATCCTACACTGTAGGAGGAAACTTGGCAGCGCCTCCAGTCGGACCTAGTGGGACGACCCACGATGCTCCTTCAGAAGGCCAGAAAGGACAGCTGCTGACTCCCGAGCTTCGCCTGCAAATACCTTCCAGCCGCCGTAGCAGTTACAGCGACCGCTCCTCGCCTAGCACGCCTTTCCCCGTGTACAGCGATTCGCCAGCACTGCTTACGCCCAATTACCAGAATGACCCAATTGAGTTCGTGTCGCCAGGAGGAGTATCACCCAGTACCGTTGCACCGGGTCCAGCAAGCCGTGAGACACCCTTTGCCGACTTGCAACTGACAGTCGATACACCATCACGTCCTGTTAGATGGTGGCCCTATGCCGTGCTACCAGCTCCCCATGTCTTGTGGGCAACCTTGTTCCCTACATTGCAAGGCTGGAAAGAGAAGACGGCATGGGACAAGTTTGTCAGTGCCATCTCTGTCCCAAGTATCTTTCTTTTGGTGGTGACTTTGCCCGTCGTAGACTCAGAAACAACAGACGGCGAATCATCTATCCTCGAGGCACTCAACGACCACACCGATCATTACCATCACGATCATCAAGTTGTTGGGCACATGGCTCCGCCCATATCAATTGAGCACTCGGCGATTGAGCCAGAAGCAGAGTCGGAATGGGAGCGCTATCGTAGACACACTATCACAAGCCGTGGCAACAGCCACGTTGGCCTTGCGACAACACCTTCCACAGCACATGCTGCAGATGGAGAGACTCTGGCCGCCTCGCAGTTCTCTCTGGGTCCACCGGCCATAGTGGCAAAGCCAGCTTCAGATTTCCATTCCTCCAGCAGTGTCAAGAATGACTGCACAGGCTGGAACCGATGGCTCGTGGCGCTACAACTCTTTACTGGTCCCCAGTTTGCTGTCCTGGTCTTGTGGGCCAATACCTTGGAGGACTGGGAGAGCCCTCATAAAGCTTTGATCCGCATGGTGTTGTACACACTCCTTGCATCTCTCATTCTTCTCGGTGTCTTGGTCGTCTTCACGTCAGAGGACAGACCCCCTCGTTATCATTACATGCTTTGCTTCATGGGATTCATTATTAGTATTGCTTGGATCTCAACAATCGCAGGCGAGGTTGTAGGGGTTCTCAAGACAGTCGGTGTCATTTTGAACATCTCGGAAGCGCTATTAGGTCTCACCATATTTGCTGCTGGCAACAGTGTGGGGGATCTAGTCGCTGATATTACAGTAGCACGGCTTGGGTATCCCGTTATGGCTTTGTAAGTACAGGAGGGCTTCCTCGGAGCACTTGGGCTAATATGTTATCTAGATCTGCTTGCTTCGGTGGCCCTATGCTGAACATCCTTCTGGGCATTGGTATCGGCGGTGCGATGATGACAATCCAGAAGGCAAACAAGAAGCACCGCAAGAACCCCAGCCATCCCATCAAGTACAAGCCTTACCGCATCCAAGTCGGTGGGACGCTGATGATCTCAGCTATCACACTACTTGTCACGCTCGTGGGCTTGCTTATTGTTGTGCCCATGAACAAATGGATCTTGAGTCGCAAGATTGGATGGGGACTGATCACTCTCTGGGCAGTGAGTACAATCGTAAACGTGATCGTCGAGCTCACTGGAGCTTGGGGTGAAATGGCATAGCCTGCCATGAACTTGGCCGGGTTTATAAAGGCGTTTTTGTCTTATTCATACATTCTTTGAGCGACTGTTTAGACCAAGCAATAACATGACTTTACAATTTTACGAACGAGAGCTGCTTTGAGAAGTCTTGGCTGATAAAAGTGTCTATATCCATCAGGTATTGACCATTAATCCTTGTTCACTCGTTCACCGAGCTCACCTCGACTGAGGGGCCCACTGGTTGCTGCGAGCTATTTAGCGGTGAGACTGGGCGGAAGAGGTGGCCCACTAAAAAGTTTCCTTGCGCTCTGTGAAGATCTTTTGGTGGAGGGGTAGCGTACGAGGGGTTATTAGAGGGGTAACAAGAAGAGGAAAACTAGAGCAGCAACGAGTTGTCAGTCCAGAGCATTCAAAACAAGATGTAGCCAATCTTCCATGTATTTTTGTTACTTCTCAGAAGTTCGGTGGTGGTTGCAACCATCATCAATCATCCATCATGGTCCTTAGAGAGTGTTGCCTTTAATCCCAATTGCATCCATGGATGGATGTCAACAGTGGACCAACCCCTGGATCTTTAGCGGTAAACGTGGCCCAAGGGATAGAAGATCTTCGAGAAACCGCAGCAATTCACCTCTTTGTGACTGTAGGTTTTTGAGGGTCAGATACATCGACTGTTGGCCCTGTATTATTATTTTAACGGCTCTGCCAAGATCTATATTACAAGCAAGCTTTTTTGAACCACGAAGAGCAGCACCTTGGGCTCCTCTAAGTGCCTTGGGCCAAGATACCTGTGTTACCTGAGGTGCAGTTCGTCGTCAAGTCTGCCCCGCATTGAATTTCATCGTACATGCTCTGTAGTACCTAGCTCCCCATCCCTGCCCCACCTTCTCCCATTTGTTTAGGTAGGTAGTATTACTTCAAGTCCCCTCCTCAACACCAAGGAGCTCCCCTATCTCACCTTATTCCTGTATCGTACATTCTCCGTTCTCTCTTTTCCAAACCAAACCACAGCAACATTCACAATGGCTCTCGCATCCCCCCCGTCGTACACTCCTCTCCAGGAGCGTCCTCTCAAGGACACCATCTGCCTCTTCGACGTTGACGGCACACTCACACCCGCGCGCCTGGTACGCTCAAACACCCTGTTCTGAATCCCTTCCAGTCGCTAACCCATACAGGACGCCTCGCCCGAGATCCTCGATATCCTTCAGAAACTTCGCTCAAAGTGCGCTATCGGATATGTTGGTGGCTCGGACTTCGCCAAGCAACAGGAGCAGCTGGGCAAGCCCGCCGGACAGCCCGTCACCGCCCTCTTTGACTTCTGCTTCTCCGAGAACGGCTTGACTGCCTTCAAGCTCGGCGAGCCCCTCGAGTCGAACTCGTTCATCAAGTTCATTGGCGAGGAGCAGTACAAGGAGCTTGCCAACTTCGTCCTCCACTATGTTGCTGATCTCGACATCCCCGTCAAGCGCGGCACGTTCATTGAATTCCGCAATGGGATGATAAACATTAGCCCCGTCGGTCGTAACGCCAGCACTCAGGAGCGAAACGACTTTGAGGCGTTCGACAAGGACGCGAAGGTCCGGGAGAAGTTTGTCGCTGTTCTCAAGGAGCGATTCGGCCATCTCGGCCTCACGTACGTTATGATCCCTAATCCGCCATGACATGCTCTGGTTTCTGACATTCTCTGAAAAGCTTCTCCATTGGTGGCCAGATCTCCTTCGATGTGTTCCCCACCGGGTGGGATAAGACTTACTGCCTCCAGCACCTTGAGAACGATGCCAAGAAGCCTGACGGTATCGCCTACAAGACCATTCACTTCTTTGGCGACAAGACATTCGAGGGCGGCAACGACTACGAGATTTACACCGACTCTAGGACAACTGGCCACTCCGTCACCGGACCTGAGGACACCATGCGTATCCTCAAGGAACTCTTCGATCTCTAAATACATATTTGGGCGTTGGAATGAGATTCAAAAGCATATATACACAATAGAAACGAGGCCAAGAAAGATGCAATGTTTTCATGAATATCCTCCCAAATATGTTTAAAATTGATCCGTCTCATACCCGTATAATGCTGCTAAGCTCGACAAACTGACAATCAACAAGGTATCTTAGATGTATATGTGTCTTCGTAATATCGTAGAAACGCTATATGTGCAATATAAATGGCAAAATCCAATCAGTGCCCTTACCTAAGAATCCAACTACACCCAGCTGATTCATCGTCCATATTCCAAATGAGGGATGATGACAGGACCATATTTAGTTGGTGCCGTGAACGCTCCGTCACCCTGAACAACAAAGTCGACGGCCAGGCTCACCTTAGACAGGCCCTGTTGCGAGCCGTTCAGGCTGGGGTTAGGGCTGAACGGTGTCTGGGGCACTGCTGCCGCTGCGTCTTGGTCGTATGAAACAAAGGCGACGTAGTTTCGACGACCCATAAGCTTTTTGAGCTCTCTTGCGGCACCACTGGCATCAGAATGGAAGATCTCCATCATATCTTCTTTTGTGTCTGACACCTCGTGCGTTGACTTCTTGCCATTCTGAGGTACGTAAAGCGTCTTTTGGTTGTGCAGCATCTTGAGCACATAGTTGCTCTGAGGTGCCGCGACGATAGGGGATGAGATGATCTGGTACATGGTCTTGTGATCACCAGGGTGTGTGGGGTCGTGAACCAACCCAGCTCCTGAGGCATTGACGTCTGCAGTAATGTTAGCATGAGAAACTCAAAAACTGATATGTGATTGTCGACTTACCTCCAGAGAGGAAGGTCATTCTGATTCCCTTCTGTTGTGCAATGCCTTGCAGAGTTCGGATTAAGTAGGTTCTCTCTAGGTCCTTAGTGTCGTGAGTCCACATATCCTTGAGCACTTCTTGAATGTCAAGCTCGCCAAACTGGTTCAAGACATTACCCATGAGACCAGTTTTTCCGACAGCCTTCTTCACCTGCGAGAAGCCTTGTGCAACCACATCTTTACCGCCGACTACGCCTGCAACGGAGCTCGTGACCTTACCCAGAATATTGTAGGTTGTGTTGACTGCCTTTTTGCCCGCAGCCATTGTGTTGGCAAGGCTCTCCACAGTGTCCAGGCGTGGATACACAAGTGGTACCGAGATCATCCAGATACAATGCTGCACGCTTGGAGGAAGTGTAGCAACTTTGGGGAAAATCCCTTGGTATGTCGGGCCTGCCATTACTTGGGCTTGGGTACGCTCGGATCGGCAGTCAGGGCCAACAACCACCACAGCCGGTCCGAGGTACTTCACGAAATGCCAACCAGTTCCAGTGATGGTGAATATGTCGTGATCGGTGCTGACGTTCCGTAGCATCTCGACAGTGGTATGGTGCTGAAACAACAGGTACATCTCTGTCGCAATTCGTCCAATGTTCTTGAACATGGGTGAAGATTGCATATAGTCTGGGTATGAGCCATATCCATCAAAACTATTCGGGTCAGTACATGTAACAAACTGAATGATAACAGTGCACTTACATATCGTGGTCGTCAATCTGCAGGACGTGGGGAATTTGCGCAAAGGCCTCACGAAGGAATGGTTGATCAAAGTGGCTGGTGTAGTAGTGGAAGTATGCGTGTGCGACATCCTCTTCATGCCGCGCTGTCCACTGGACGTTCTTCTTGTTGTCACGTCCGCTCATGGCAAGCCACTGCTTGAGGAGAGGGACTTCTTTCCACAAACGATCACCGTAGATCTGGTCTCCCAACCCTAACTGAACATGAAAGCCACCACAATCGACATTCTTCTGGAGGACGTCCTTCCACATGAATCCAACCCCGCCAAGCTTAGCTCGCTCGTTCTGTGAAGTGCCTGCAGCGAAGTCGTTGCCGGAGTGTGCAATAAAGCGCCAGCTAGTCTCTTGACGCCCAGCCACGACGAATTCATAGCGTGTGCAGCCAAGGTGAGAGGTAACTGCATATGTCCAACGCTCAGTACCAGCCTCAGACATGGGCAGTTCTAAATCATATTTATAAAACTTCCATCTTTGGTGTGTGAAAATTGGGCGAGGCTCGGCTTGTCGTGGATTGGGTGCCAGGTCGTGGCTCAGGTGAATATGGATTGTGGGTGGTTGAGGAGCATCTGTCACAATCAGAATACTACCCAGCCAAAGGCCCTTCTCGATATCCATGTTGACATATCGTAGATAGGGGCCAAAGTAAACGCCATTCGTAGGCTGAATTCTGTACATATCAACACCCGCGCTTGGTGGAGGACCGGTAAATCCGGCGGCTGTGGGTGTCGCTGAAGCCGCTACACTCATGATACTCTCAGCATAGCCAGGGGTATGCGGTGGGAACATCGGAGAGGCCATGGCTTGCTTGCCAAACATTGGCGATGCCAAAGGGTTTCCATAAGTCGAAGCGGTTGGCGAGAGAGGAGCTTGTTCGTGAGATATGGGGTTTGGTCCCTTGGGGAAGTCCCACTGCGTAGCTTGAGATGCCAGGTGAATATAGTAGTATTGTCCGGAATTCTGATCCAAATGGGCGATCCATCCCTCAGGCAGGGGTGGAGGTGAGGCTGGGTTCTGGGTTTCAAAGGTCTGGGCAGGGGCAACGACTTGCTGCTGAGACGGTTGCCCATTCTGCTCAGGGTGCGGTTCATTCGCAAACGCAGGGTGAGGGTCGTTGGCAAACGCAGGATGGCCTGGGTGCTGAAGAGCAGGCGAAGCAAGTCCACCAGCAACAGTTGAGGCTGCAGCTACCGCGGCGGCCTTCGTTGGCGCTGTCGATGTAGTCGCCTGCTGTTGGGGTTGAGCAGCGGCAGAACTTGAGCCGGCTTGCTGGGGCCGTTGCTTCTCGTTGGGATAAGACGAGTTTCCACCAGGGTTGAGACTCGAGTATGCAGGAGGGGGCGAGTTGGTGTTCATACGTTGGAAGTCTTGCTCCAACACACTGACTTGCGCCTGACCCTGTCCTTGCCCTTGTGGCTGTGGCTTTTGTTGTTGTTGCTGTTCGGGTTGTGGGGGAGGACTAAACGACTGATGTGACTGTGCCGGACTCGAAATAGCATTCATGCCCTGGTACACAGTCGGAGGACCGGATGGCGCTTGGTCTGGGGTCTCGGTGGGTGTCCATGGTCGTTGAGGAGGAGGTTGGTTTCCATACTGCGCGAGTCTCTGGGAAGCGGCCGCACTGGGGGCGCCCAGGCTGTTAAGGGTAGCAGTTCCGGAGATACCAGCGGCGGCATAACGGGCCTCAATAGCATCAGCCGGCGCCTGTCCGGGCTCCACAATCGGGGTTTCGGGAGGGGGAGGCGAGCCACGGCTTGCACGGGTCGTTGAAGTTGAGGCAGTTGAAGCAAAGCGATTTACTCCTTGGTCGTTCATCTTGAGTTGTTGGACAGCGGCAGGCTGAGCCGGTGCATTGCTTGATGAGCCAGACGCAGCACCAGGTGGCGGATAGTACGCTTTTTGATAGCTGGGATAATTGTTGTTAGAGGAGCCAGGCCGGTGGCTATCGGCCAGAGGACGTTGAAAAAGATCGGTGTCGGCGTCAGGACTTGTGGGAGAGCTGATAGGTTTTGGAGCAGCCCCTCTTCGCTCAGCGAGACCAGGTTTCTTTCCTGGTGGGCTAGTTTCTAGACGAGGGCTGGTGTCATTGTATGCGGAGCCGAAGGGCTTCGCAGGAGTTGGTTTGCGAACGTCGTCGTCGTCCGGGAACGGCAAGGGAGCCGCAGAGCTGGAGGCGCCAGGAGGAAGAGGAAATGAGTGCTTAGAGGCGGGAGATGTGGACGAAGGAGGCGCAGGATATCGGAAAGCAGAGGATCTGCCATCTTTTGCGGGTTGGGGGCTCTGAGGTTTGAATATGCGCAAAGGTTCAACGGTAGGGCTGTCGCAGTCTTCAGGGGCGGGCTTGCTGAGAAACATCTCCTCATCCGGAACGCCACGACTACGCTCCATCTTGAGATACGATGGCGCCTCTAATAGGCGACGGAAGATACGGAAGTGAAATGTGCGACAGTATGCGATATGGGAGTTCCCCAATGATGGCGGGGTAAGTGAGCGAGCAACAGAACGTCCTGTTTGAGATTGATGACGCAGATGACGAGGCGCAAAGGAGGCCGCGGTAGCTGGCCTGTTCTTGATCAACAAGTACAAACTTGAGAGGTCAAGAAAGCTCTTGGGTGATATGCCCTCTGGGTTTATCTTGTTTGAGTTGTTGGTTGAGCGGGGTTCGACTGTTTGGGCTGTATCGGCTGAAGTGACGTGGGCTTGTGCGTACAGGTAAGGTAGGTAGGTACCTAGATTAGTAGTTAGTGCCTTCCGTCTCCTGTGGCGTTGGTTGTGCTTGTTTGTACCTGATTGAGGGGTCCCAGGAAAGTAGGTCGCAGAAACGGCCGCGTCAGGTACAAAACTCTGATGTTGGTTTCAGAAGAGTGAAAAAGTGATAAAAAATTCAGGGGAATACTTTGTAAAGAACAAAAGCGCATGAAAGAAGAAAAAAATTAAAAGAGAAAAGGGGGAAAGGACAATCAAGAGGGGAAGAGGGTCTCTTCTGCTCAAGCGCCGTGGCCTGCTGGATCATACAGATCATGGGGAGCTTCCAATAGCAATACAGCAGTTGGGAGGCAGCTCGTTAAAACGAAGTGAGGTGGCGTGGCGTGGCCTTCAATCGTAGGGAACTAGAGGGAGCTTATAAGTGCAGGGGTTTTCTAGCACCCAAGCCAAGGTACCTATGATTGAAACGTCGTTACTTCATTGAGAATTAGGTATACCCTACATGCAGTACCTATCAAGTCCTGGTACGGAAAGCTTGTGTCTTGCTATTCCCATCATAAATAATAGGTAGGTACTGTTCTCCCGAGTATAATGGATGTAACCGCCCGAGTTAACCCAACAAGAAACATCTTTCTTGTCCGGCGGCAACAGCTTCAGGGGCATGAAATACGTCACTCTCACAAGAAAAATATCGAGCTCAGATAATCTCAAACTCAGAGCCTGTGTTTCAAAGACACCATGAATGATGACAAACTCTGATTGGTTCCCCCGAACAAGCTGTAAGCGCCCGAGAGCTCGAGCTAAAGCTTGGAAGCCATCAAAAGCGGGGCCTCGGGAAGAGCCTTGCAGGGCTTGGGGGCCAAAGAATAACGGGAGGGTGGGGCATTTGGGGTAAAATCATGGATCATGAGAGCTCCAGAGCTCTCATGGGTAGCAACATAGCCTCGATGCAAGCGCCCGTCTTTGAAGCCAAGAAATGCATGTGACCACTAACCGTATTGAATTTCAGGCGGCACATCAAAGAATTATGTGATAACGAGATTGTGAGTTTTGGCGAGGTCCCTCAATTCTGTGATAACTAACACGTACAGTATTAGAACAAAACGAAGTAAATGGCTGGCGCGAAGGTAAGTTGAGTCATTGGAGCTCCAAATATCAACAACAATAGCCCTAACCAAGTCAAATATTTGGCAGACACACATCATGACTTTTATAAGGCTCATGTTAATAGACCCTGATCAACTAGTGGCCTAGGCTCTTATTGCCCGGGTTTAGCTGATCGTTGTCGAGTGGAGTGCAGGAATGCTGTATAAAGGATGCAGATATGCAAGTGATTACTTCTTAATAACCTATCCATTCATGTCTGTAGTGCTTCATCTAGTAGGCGTAGGTATTGTAAGGAGTTTACTGGGAAGTACTTAGCATGTATCTCGTGATTGAATTGCTACAATAATTTGCTGCCTACGTTAAATCAGGATCAACGTTCATAATAGGTGTTTTCTCTGCCTCATTAATATATTTCGGTCAAGCAAAGTTCAGATCGAAGTCAACACTAAGTAGGTTGGGAGTATGGATTGGTCCATGTTACCTTAAGGTGTACCTGTCGCTGCGGAGTACGGATACCAGTTCAAGAATTAGAATTAAAGAAATGTGGGTCAGTCAGCCACTCAACGCGTCTCAACTTCTAAGACGCGCTTTCTCCAACGTCACCACCTCGAAATTCCAGGGACTAGATTAAGGGTATCAAATGTGAATGCCCCCTATAGCTAATGCCATTTGCAACACCTCCAAGTCCTAATCTCCAACATGGCTCCCACTCCGAAATCGAGCGAGAAGAAACAACAGTCACTGACTTCATTTTTCACACCAAAAACCGTCAATGGCTTGGCAGCAGTCTTTGAGAAGCAAAGCCGAGCACAAGCAGCCAAGTCGCAGCCGCAATCGCAGCCACAGTCATCCAGCAAAGATAACGAGTCGCCCTCGAGGAAACGAGCTTTAGATGATGCGGGAAAGGAGAATGAGAAGCCTGGAAAGACTCTGAAAAGAGCTAGAGTTAATGACACTCCCGCCAATGAAGACACAAGTACACTTTTCTCCAGATCGAAAGCTGGCGATCAAGAGACCATAGGGACACGGACAGAAAGATACCGATATGACGGCTCCAGTGCACCGACCACCCAAGATGGTGACAAGAACACGGAATCGATCCAGAATGAGGATGAAGATGCAGAAGAGAGGCGACAACACCAGGAGCTACATAAAAGATTCGTCAAGAAACTCGGCCACCCAGATGCACTCGCATGGCGTCGCAATCTCCAAGATGCTGCACCGGCAGGTGAAGATGAAGATGCCGACGCTGATGAAGAGGATGCTCCAGCCCCTGCAAAGACGAAGAAGAAGGGTTCCAAGACAGGCAAACTCACCCCTATGGAGATCCAGTTCCTTGACATCAAAAGAAAACACATGGACACAATCCTCATCATGGAGGTGGGTTATAAATTTCGATTCTTTGGCGAGGATGCTCGTATAGCGGCCAAGGAGCTGAGTATAGTCTGCATTCCAGGCAAGATGCGTTATGATGAGCGTAAGTTATCATTCCTGCAGCTCTGAGCGCATAATTCTAACCTGTACAGACCCGTCAGAGGCTCATTTAGATCGCTTTGCCTCGGCGAGTATCCCGGTGCACCGTCTTCCGGTACATGCAAAGCGCCTGGTAGCTGCCGGACACAAAGTCGGTGTCGTTCGTCAAATCGAGACTGCAGCATTGAAGAAGGCTGGAGACAACCGCAACACCCCATTTGTCCGCAAGCTCACCAATCTCTACACAAAAGGTACATACATCGATGAGAATGGTGAGCTCGACCAGAGCGGTGGTTCGGGAGCCCCCTCGGGCGGTTATCTATTATGTTTAACGGAATCCAAGGCCAAGGGATGGGGCACTGATGAGAAAGTTGATGTTGGCATCATTGCCGTACAGCCAGCAACCGGAGACATCATATACGACAACTTCGAGGACGGTTTCATGCGGAGTGAGATTGAAACGCGGCTCTTGCACATCTCCCCCTGCGAGTTCTTGATCGTAGGGGATTTAAGCAAGGGTACCGATAAACTCGTGCAGCACTTATCAGGCACCAGCACGAATGTTTTTGGTGACCGGAGTCGAGTCGAGCGCGTTTCCAAGAGTAAGACTATGGCGGCTGAGGCGTACTCCCACGTCACTCAATTCTACGCGGACAAGCTCAAAGATAATGCCCAAGACGAAACTGCTGCCGCCCTTCTCGACAAAGTCTTGAAACTTCCCGAGTCTGTCACCATCTGCCTCTCGGCTATGATCAACCATCTCCAAGAATACGGTCTCGAGCACATCTTTGACCTTACAAAGTACTTCCAGAGCTTCAGCACACGCTCACATATGCTAATCAATGGTACGACCCTCGAAAGCCTTGAAGTGTACCGTAATTCTACAGATCACTCCGAAAAAGGCAGTCTGTTCTGGGCGCTCAACAAGACACTCACGCGCCCAGGACATCGCCTACTCCGAAAATGGGTAGGACGTCCCCTGCTCGATCAACAACTTCTCGAGGCCCGTCTCAACGCCGTTGAGGAGCTTCTCGAGAAGCAATCAACCGTTCCTGTATCCCAGCTTGAGTCACTTTTGGCCAACACCAAAACCGATCTTGAACGCAGTCTTATCCGCATCTATTACGGCAAATGCACACGTCCAGAACTCCTCTCAGTGCTTCAGGCCCTCCAAAGGGTTGCAAGTTACTACTCAACCGTCAAGAGTCCTTCTGACGCCCCCTTCTCTTCCTCTCTCCTAAACGATGCTGTCTGTGCACTTCCACAAATTCTTGACACAGTTGTGTCCTATCTCGAGCGCATTAACCTTGTCGCAGCCCAGAAGGATGACAAATATGGCTTTTTCCGTGATGAATTTCAGACAGAGGATATGCAAGATCATCAACTTGGTATCGCTCATGTTGAGCACGAGCTAGATGGTCACCGTGCTGCCGCCGCTGAAAAGATCAAGAAGAAGACTGTCGATTATGTCACTGTTGCTGGCATCGAATATCTTATTGAGGTGCCCAACACAGATATCAAAAACGTCCCTGCTTCTTGGGCCAAGATTTCTGGAACGAAGAAACTCTCACGCTTTCACACACCCGAGGTACTTCGCCTCATCACGGAACGCGATCAACACCGCGAGGCCTTAGCTGCCGCCTGTGACAAGGCCTTCACAGATCTGCTCGCCTCCATTTCTGCAGACTACCAGCCTCTTCGCGATGCCGTATCTGCTCTCGCGACCCTCGATTGCATTCTCTCACTCTCTAAAGTTGCCGCTCAGCCAGGCTACTCTCGACCCTCATTTCTCCCATCAACCGCCGACCCAACTATCTCTATTACTGGCGGTCGTCACGCTATTGCTGAGCATACTCTTGACGGCGGCTACATACCCTTCTCTACCAGCCTCATGCATCCTTCACCTCTCGCTCATCTCATAACTGGCCCCAACATGGGCGGTAAGTCTTCTTTCGTCCGCGCCCTTGCCCTTATAGTTCTCCTTTCTCAAGTGGGCTCCTATGTCCCAGCCGATGCCTTGTCTCTCACCCTCTGTGATGCTATTCATACACGAACGGGGGCTCGCGACAATCTCTTCGCCGGTGAATCTACATTCATGGTTGAGGTCTCTGAAACAGCCCGTATCCTTCGATCGGCCGGCCCCCGAAGTCTGGTCATTCTCGACGAGCTAGGCCGCGGAACCAGTACTCACGATGGCGCCGCCATCGCTCAGGCTGTGCTGCAGCATGTCGTCACTGAAACCCGCTGCCTAACACTCTTCATCACGCACTATCAAAATCTAGCGCGGGTAGCTGAAGGTCTGGATGGTGTCAAGAACGTTCACATGAAATTCAAGGCAGAGAAGGGAGAGGATGGCGAGGAACAGGTCACGTTCTTGTACGAAGTTGGCGAAGGTGTTGCTCATCGATCTTATGGCTTGAACGTTGCGAGGCTCGCTCATATTCCCAAGAAGGTCATTGATGTTGCTGCTCTGAAGTCGGGGCAAATGGAGCAAGAAATGAAGATTCGTCGCTTCAGGGGTGTTTGCCGTGCCTTGTCAGACGTAATACATAACGGGCCGGATCAACTTGACCAGCTGGTATCGGGCATTGAACAATTGTAAATAACATCACAACTATACTACGTACTGTTTCGGGGATTCGATAGAAGAAAGAAATAAAAACCCAATGTCAGAATGACTAATTTCCCATAAGGTGCTTACAATGTCTTCTGTCTTGAAACCCCGTAACTCCAATGTCAAATGATATGTCCGTCTCCCCCGGACACCAAAGTCCACCTAGTTATTCTTTTCTCATGACACCATTTTATATGCCTCCTTGAAGCCCCAAATTCCCCATACTGATCATCTGAGCGCCGTTAAACATTGTCCCAAGTTAATCGAAACTCCTAATTGTTTCCCCACCCGGTACCATTTTGTTAAAAGTTCAAAAAGAATAATAGAATGTCAAAAACGCAAGTCGGTAGAAATAGGCGTAGGGAGTCGTATGTAATATGTACAGCATGTTCGTATCATCTGGGAGGGTTAGAATTTTCTTTTAGTCAGGACGATGATGGCTGTCAGCCAAATGCTTACCTCGGTGGCTGTCATGAGGGTTGAGAGCAACGATCTAACATGACTCGCCATGATCTGGAAGACTGGCGAACTCCATTTATGCTTGTGGATCTTGTGATTCTCGTTTGTGTCTTGGGTGCCTGCAGGTCTACGAGGCACATGTCTTGCCTTCTTCGGTGCTCATCTTGTCAGTCACATTTGTGAGTCGTCCACTGCAAGGCCGTGGGAAAAGTCCAGGTCATTTTCTGTACCATGCAGGTTCCAGGGTACATTCATGCTTAGCTCTTGCTCCTCTCCAAGGCCACCGTTGTTCTCATTTGGCTCACAAATTTGTGTCTGGGGTGGTTTCATTCCTCCGTCATTGTGTAAGTGGTCTTGCTGTCGGTTGATGGAGGAAAATGACAATGGAGAGAATGTTGCATTCGGTGTAGCTTGGCTGTAAGGATTCAAGAATGGCCTATCATGGGAAAAAAGAGGGTTGGTTCCAGGTACCCCCATGAAAGGACTGTTATTTGTCCCTTGTGTTGTATCTCCCGTGATTGATCCCGTGTAGTCTTCATGTTTCAGCTGGAATCCATAGTCTGCGGCCAATCGAAACTGATCTGGACCAAGTCCTCGATACTGGTCGAAATTTGGAGGGACGAATGGAAGGCGTGACGAAGCATTGTAGATCGTAGCGTCCTTCAAAGCATACGAAGCTTCTACGTGACTGAATGTGCCTGTTTGTGTGTAAGTCCAATTCCAGAATCCAGTCGTGAATAATTACGGCTCAAATGTTCCTCAAACTTACCTGGAGGGAATGATTCAGGTCGAAGTGTGTTAGATGTTTCTCGGCCTAGAAGTTGTCGTGGTGCTAGATCTCTCGGATGCGGCGTGGGAGAAACAAGACTTGGATGAAGAAGGTTGTCAATGCTTCGAGCTCCATGCTTCGTGCGAAGGTCGAATCTAGTTTTGGTGTCAGTTTTTGGTACAGAAGCGGCACAAAATCTCACCTCCTATCATTCCGAGTGGCAGGAAGTGGAGGTTCACTGATGGAAGCTTTCATTTAGTATTAGCGATTTTCCTCTTTTTCAGTTCGCACAATACCCACCTGGCCGGTCCTTTTCATCACGGAAAACATCGTGGATATCTTGCGGTTTTTCTGGTGGAGGATATGTCTTGGGTTCTTTCTCGCGACTTTTTTTCTTTGTGGGGTTTGTCTCCTTTCCCGTGCCAGATTTCGGGCCACGAGCAGTACTACGGCGTTGCTTGGGAGCGTTGGCCGAGATTTCAGCAAGAGGTGTGGCCTTTTTGCGCTTCGTTTTTGGAGCTTTTCGTGGTGGTGTCTGACAATGTTAGCATTTGGAAGGGACTTGCTCTCATGGCACATACTGATTCTTCCTGGCCAGGAGCAGGAGAGGAAGCATCATCATACACGTCCTTCGTCCTTTCAACTTCTAGTTCAGATGTCATGATGAATTGGGTAGGTTCGATACGCTCTGAAGCCCTCTTCATTCTGTCGATCACGGACTTGGGCTTCTTTTGGTTCCGAGTTCGCCTCATCTCGTCGTCGGCAAGATCCATTTTCCCCATTCCTGGCCACACTTGGCCCTTCAGCGACATTGAGTCGGCTCCCAGAGAGAATTCTTCTTGAACATCGTGATCTTGGTCATGGTCAAAGAAGCCCGGGAAGATTGGGAAATCGTCTAGAAGTTCGTCTCCTTCGAGCTTAATGGCGGGGCTCATTGATGTCTCCTGTTTAATCTTCCGCTTGTTTTGCTTTCGACTGTCAGAAATAGTAACAACCACCAGAAGGAGATATCACTACCTTGGCAGAGGCGAAATGATTTCCTTGATTACGCCGGCTACGAGCCTCTTCCTTCAACTGCTTTGCTCTCATTCTATCAACCAACAGTGCCTCGATGCCATTTTGGGAGTACTACTCCTCGTAACGTTGAAGTTTGACCGCAGCGGTGATATCTTGGTGAGCCTTGAGCTTCGTTTGGGTTTCGTGATGAAGGTGTCCTTTCGAAGCGATATGAGTAAGAAGATGTGAGACATCCGAAAAACGAGGATTCTCAGGACACACGGAACAAAAGAGTGGGATATGTCGACTGATAGAGCTGGCTGTATTGTCCCCTGGTATCGCTGTAGTAGCCATGACCTAAGCCACAACGGAATGGTCAGTAATCCCTTATTCAGTAACGACTAAGGGCGGATTGTCAACAAATTGATTGGGCTGCGGTACCAAGGGAGCTATCAATGGCGTATAAAACGGCTTGTAGAGCGTTCTTCTCCTTGTCTGAGAACGAATGGGAAAGGGCTGACAGACAAGTCAAAACGAGGGCAATAGTGAGTGCAATGCGTTGAGATGGAGATGGAATCAAGTTCTGGGTCGAAAAGAGCAGGTCTTGTACAAGTGAAGATAAGGCAAAGTCTGTGATCAAGAACAAGGGAAGACAAGTAGCTAACGTAAATACGAAGGGAAGTTGCTTACCAGTGGTGGCTTTGTGGACTTCCTGCTTCGAGCCATGATTGCGGCTTATGACAGTAGAAGCTGAACTTTTGAACTGATGATGCAGGATCGACTCCTTGTTGGTTCTCATGGATGACAGCCGGCTGATGGCAGAGTGGAAGGGAAGGAAGGTTCGGCTTGGAGACTTTCCGGAACGCAGGTTAAGTGGAAGTTGCAACGTCTTCGAAATTGGAAAGTGCTGTCTACTGTGAGATCAGAAGTCACCTGCCTTGTTTGCCTCGAATGGCATCCCTGGACAGCAACGGTTCTAGGAGGAGAACTCGAGCGAAAGATGAATATCTCGATAACGTGAAGAGCGGCAGTTTGTGGAAAGGGTGCAGAAGCTTCCCATACCTCTTAGACCTTGCTCCTTATTGTGTCTAGATGAAAGCCCGCCTCCTGCTTGTTATTGCTTCGGGCTAAGTCAAAAGTACATGGCTCTTGAGAAAGAATCGGGTGTCGCTAGGTAGCCTCAATACTGTAGCAGAAGCAATTAGCACGGTCGTTCCTGATTCAAGGGCCCAGATCTTCTTGTTTGCAGTCAAGGAAAGACACCATGCCCCTTCCTGGTTCTTTTGTCATTCGAGCTGTACCTACTAAGGTAGAAAAGAAACATTTCAAACTCACCGTATCCTGGTAGGAATTGTCCTGCTGGCAGCAAGAGCTCCCGAAACAATGCTGTAAAGAACAAGTTTCCTCAAGCAACAATACCAGATATGCGAAAATACCAGCACAGTCGGAGTAGAAAAGTAGGGATTGAAAGACTCCTCAAAGGTGTGCTCAACGACGTTACTGGGAAAAGGTATCTATCTACCTTGGTAGGTAGACACTCAGGTAGACAGGGTGGTATGGTTGAAGACAATGGAATATCAAAGGAAGAGGAGTTGCAGGTGATTCGGATGATTTCGATACATCCCAAGTTATAAGGTAAGGTAGTTTCTACACCTAGTAGAGGACCAGAAGTCTGGGGAAGGAGATGAGGGGTGCTGGGAGAGGGGCTAGCTAGGTCTGACTGTCAGGGGGGAAGGAGCGTGTCGGCAGGCGACCTAATAGCCCTGTGAGCCTCAGGAAATATTCTGAGGCATGAAGGGCAGGCACGGATTTTAGCTGAGTGGCGCAAGGAACAGGAGGCCAATAACATCTTATGCCGGAGGAGGAGACGGCCAAGCACTGCTCTTCATATGCTAGTATTGAAAAATGCCAGGGAAATGTGTGATAACAAGGATGCGTATGATAATTGTGGCCAAGGAGCAAACATTTGCAGCACGAGGAGAGCCCGAGGGTAAGCCAAACGATTGTGTCTCCATTGGCAGGAAATTTTGTATTGACATTGAAAGATACTTAGGTGTGTCAATTAAGGGTAATACACTGTTGGTCCAACATGGCCAGGTTCAAAGGGATAGGACCATCCATATCTATCCAGATTCTGTGATATGAGCACATGTCTCAACAAGCTCAGTGCCGATAAATGTTTGAAGGACTTCACGGGACGAACACCACGGAATCAAGCGATGTCCCTGAAAAAACCAACAGTTTCTCTTCCCTCAACCATATTCACATGCTATCACTGAACAATGTCGTAAGCATGTGCTATGAATGGTCAGAGGGTGGTGGCTAGCACCATTGGGTAAGGTGTATAAAGGAAAGACGGGCTCATAGACGTATAGACGTATAGACGATCAACCGAGAAGTCTCTTTGTTATCGTTTTGGGCATGCAATATACTGGATCGACTGCCTCGAGACCTGGATAGCCCAAAAGACTAAGACCACACAAACCGAACTGGGTATGCCAAACATCGACCATATTACCAGGTCGATCAGAGATACCACCAATTTCGGTATCTTGACACTTGAGAATGAAAGCGATAAGCGCATCGCGGTCGATCCAATGTGTGCGCTCGATCATGGCGAGACTACTCAATACCCACCAGCTGTAGCACACGTCCTCGTCTTTTTCAGGTCGACCGTTAAGGCCACCACAGGGAACTTGTCTCTCGCTCAACCATCGGCCAAGCTTCTCTTTGTCCACGAGATCAAGCCGACCAACTATTGCGAGGGCGGCAACGCAAGTAAAGATCTGACCCGAATGCGACTCCGCACCAGGCCCTGTTCCATAGCCACCGTCAAAGTTGGCACAAGCGATGATGTGTGCGACGGCCTTGTCGACATTGACAAGGGGCATAAGACCGAGTAGGGACAAGGCATTGAATGCACCGTACAAGAATCGGGTATCCTCCTCGCCCCATTCATCCCCGGCAAATGTACCAGACTCTTGATTCTGCAGTCCTGCGATGACTGTTGGTGGTCAGTGGGTGCATAGGAGGCACTGTGGACCTTGCGAAATACCTACACTTGCCAACCTGGCTCTTGCCTTTGCCTTTGGTTTCCAGCTGGTCGAGAGCATCCGTCATGGCGAGAATCTGCACAGCACTTACTGTGGACAGCATGTGAGCATCATGGCCAGGTGCTGCACCGAACCCACCATTTTCATGCTGGCAGGAGAGAATGAAATCGATGACATCCTGTCGAGGGAGAGCCTCTGGCCGACCCAGGAGGAAGAGTGCGTTTAATCCCCAATACAAGCCATTGAGTCGCAGATGCTCGGTAAGCCAGTAGTCGAGCTCATCCTTTCTTGTATCCAGGCTCTGGACATACTTCACATGAGCATCGACAGCGAGTTCTGGGCCTTTTTGGTCTGTCGAGTCTTGGGACATATTGTCAAAGGATGAAGTAAGTTAAACGAACTCGCTGAGGTTGACATGGAGAGAATTTTCTAGGCGGGTTGTTACGTAAGCGTTGCCTGGTCAGTGATTAAGGTAAGGTACGTTTGCAGCTTAAGCTGATCGGGCTACCTACCTACCCTTGACCGGCATTACCTAGGTCCCTAGATAATCTGACAAATATCTTGTTTTCAATAATGGTGTGACCGTGTTAAAAGAATTGTTTGAAAATCGAGAAAAATTAAATAAACCTTAAGGTTTTGAAAGACAAATGCACGATATCAAGCCTTACGAGCTGTTTCACTTGAATTTGCATGTGTTCCAAAGGCATCAAAATGAACAGAGTTAAATGAGTGTGAATGAGTCTTCTTTTATTTGGAATTCGACAATACCTAAGTACTTACTTATGTCCTATCTCCAATTTGTTGTACAGTGGAATAATATGTAATGCGACTCAGAAATACAATGTTAGTTTAGCCGGGCTGTCTTTGATTCAAGAAGGCGTGGAAAACTCCACAAGAGCATCCCATGGAAATAATCGGTTCTCATCATCAACTGCAAGCCGCCAGATAGACAACCTACCTAGAGACGCGACCACCGTATCCTCCAAAATAATGCACAAAGAATATTTCACCACTAACGATGGATGCAAAATCGCCTTTCAGTCTTCCTTACCACTGAAGGAAGTTGCAGGAGTTGCAGCTGAGAAATGCGTCCTGCTCATGCATGGCTTCAGTGGCTCTAGCGATTACTTCATCCGCAACTTTACATCCCTGAGCAAATCACTCTGGGTCGTTGCCCCGGACATGCGAGGACATGGGGACTCCAGTCAAACTCGTGGTGGTTATCACGTTGCGCGCTTGGCAGCTGATCTTTCAGGTCTTGTTGCTCATATACGCAAGACGGCATCCGTCAGTATTGTGCCTGTTGGATGCTCGATTGGCGCCGCCGTGCTCTGGACGTACGTGGAGCTCTTTGGTTGCAACGACTTTGCGGGATTTGTCTTTGTTGATCAGGCACCTCTACAAGATCGCTCAGCGTTCGATGAATGGGACGAAACCAGGGCACATACTGGATGTTATGACGAGAAGACCATGCTCGCCGCACAATACAACTGGATCAATGACTCGAAGAAGGCGCATATCGATCTAGCAATAGGCTGCTTAGGATATCGACATGCCCCAAAGGAGGAAGACGGGATTTCAGCTGAGCAACAAGCCAAGGATGAAGCCTTCTTTACAGACATCAGTGCGAAATGCGACCAAACATGGCTAGCACGACTACTGGCAGATCATACTCGCTACGATCACCGAGAATCCATCGAAACAATCACGGTTCCGGTGTTGGTTATGGCCGGTCGACGATCAAGCTGCTTCCCACTTGAAGGAATGCTCGAGAGCGTGAGACGTGTAGAGAAGTCAAGGCCAGGGCTAGCAAGGTCATCGGTGTTTGACTCTGGACATTGGCTATTTTACGAGGAACCAGAGAGATTCAACAAGGAGATTGCGGAGTTTGTTAACTCATGCTAGATGTCGATCGGGCCAAGAGCCAGCTGTTTGGTCGGAGTCAAGAATTGAAATGAAGACATAGGTGGTAGCTACGACCTGAAAGAAGAAGAAGAAAAGTACAATTTGTTGGCTGATCAACTGCAGTATATTGTAATGATGATATAATTGGCAAACGGTGCAAAACGACCGTGAAGAATGGCATCACTTGGTTCGGTTATCCAATCATTGAATCTTGTGGTCAGCGTATATACCAAGCTTGCCAACAGGTGGTTCAGCCTGACCATCATATGTTCTGTCCAAGATCGCACGTTTTGAGGCAACAACATGGCTTTAGATACTTGGGCTAACCAAAGATCGGGAGAAAGTATGACAAGATGTAACTTGCTTACACGATACAATGCAAGAATGTTGATTTAACCAGGACATCATTGTAAGGCTGAGATGATGAATAATGATATCATTGGCAACACATGAGACGAAGTTGATCCTCTGCACTACGTTTCATGTAGGTCGACACTCTTGGCAATGGATAGATACAGGAGCAGCCAGGTTCTAACTGACAGGGAGATCCTGACATGGGTTATCTGTCAAACAAGCAAGATAGGCAATCCACATTCGGCAGCGGTTGGCGGCTGAAGCTGACGACGTCAAATTTTGCAAGTGGGTAGTGGGTGTTTGTTTTGAATTGATATAAGAGAATATACGACGCTGGAAATATGCAATTTCACCAAACTCATGAGTGGGATCCATGAAGCCTCATCTCGTCAACTCTGTAACCGATCCATCTGCACTTTCGACAGGTAAGCGGCTGGTATGTGCCGTACCCCATGCAATACGAATGATATCGACTTTCAAGGCAGAGGTGTCAAAATGAGGTGGCGCTATCTCGTGAAGGTGTTGCGCCTTCGAAAACAGCATCCCGTCCGTTACCCTCCAACATCGAGAATACATCATCCAAAGAACGGGAGTCGACTGAAGATTGACTTTGGGAGCAGAGTCGGCAGAACTCAAGCTTGTACTTGGAAAAAGCCCGAGCCCTCCACTCTGTACCAAGGCTAAGAACGCCACTGCTGCCGGTCATCCAGGAACTGCCTATGATCCCGGAATGATGGAGCCAGTGGCCAGGTTACGATTCCAGAGAAATTCCAAGAGAGGCAGTTGACTTTGACGGAGCGATCGATGTTGGTGTCAAGGGTCTCTAAAAGTTTGTTGTTGCAAGTGACATAATAGTTGCTGCAAGTGAATCGCAGTAGTGGATGTAATTGAAAAGCTGCCTTTAAATTAGCCAAATCGTCCCCAGAGACTCGGCTTATCTGTTGTCAGAAAATGCAATACGTATTATATCCATCTAGTTTCATATCATGGTTGCAGCCCTGAACAGAGCTCTTTCGTTCCTGGTTGCTCCATGGCTTTTGGGCGCATCTAGGCTTCCGATGCCTGACGCCTTGGCTGCCAGGCACCTCCAGGTCACGGTGGGACTTCTGTTGTGTTTCTCTGTCTGCGAGTGGCCAGCTCGTGGCTCTGAGATCAGGACTAGCTAGAGCCACTATGGGGTCTGACCTCATGATGGGATAAACATGGAGATGTGAACGAAGAATCAACCCCTGGGTCGAGGGAGTTTCCAACACATATAGCGGGGTAGAAGGGCCTCAGCGTTGGATCCAGTGAATGGATTGATGTGGATCCAAATGATGGATGTTTGTGTCCTTCTGCAACTGCAGACTGTGCTGTGGTAAGTTCCAGCCTACCGAGCTAGCCTATGTAGGTTTGTGTCCATATTCTCTATGGAAACGGGCTGTTTTAGGTTGCCGAATTTCCAGCACCTGTCGGTATCATCGGTTACAGAGTCTAAATTTTGTAGGTCGTTTCAGCTTCACACGTATCCATTACATGCAGCACACGTACGCACTTGACGCGCAACGCTCGATTTCAATAGTAACATTCATGACCGGTACTGTGCTGTATCTGTGAGATGTGATGTTTGCAGAAGTTACTAATGGTATTTACATACCATTTGATGAGGACGAATACCTATTATCCGCAAGCTGGAACCCGAAACCACCTTATCTGAGCAAGGTAAAGTTGGTACCCAGTACCTGAGACTGTACCTGAAGGCTGAGGGTGTCTGTGCCTGTGCCTGTCCAGATGCCTCTTATTGAGTTGGATTGGATGCCACCCCCATTTACTCACAGCAGCCTCTCGTGATTGAACCCCTGGCAAAAAGCAAAACAAGTGCCAATATAAGCCGGCCTTAGTGAGCAAGAAAACCTCTGACAGTAAATTAGGGTGTCAAAAAAGATCAGTCTAATAGTCTTCAGGTCTACCTAAATCTATATTGAAATTTGCCCAAGTTTATACTAGATTTATCCAAGTCTTTTTGTCATTTGTTAGAATAGAAGTCAGAAGTTTTCTTGTCCACCCTAAGCAGGCCATCAAAAGCTAAGGTACCTTAGGCTTGGTCTTTGTTCGTCCCTTGTTCCTGGTCTTTCTCCGTACAACGTTCCACATCCTGTCCCTTGCTTCTTTTGGGATCTGACAACCCTTGGACATCATCAGCTGCACTGCCTGACTGACTACACGCACACTTCAAGGATGCACTACTCTGATACCTGACATTTACTCGACTGTACGCAATCGTTCCGTGAAGCGGTCAGCAGTAAGCTTTATATGCAGGCTGTTACCTCGTCGATTGGAACAACTAGTTACTCGGGGCTACCGATTGTTGTGTATCCAGTGGCACTCTTCTCCAAAGCAATTGACGGCTGGGATTCGGACATTTTTGGCACCAATGCCGGGCATTAGTATTAGCCCTACCACGATCGAATAATATTGGATTGATATTACTACGGATATAATATTGAACGACCCATTACTGAAGCCTGACAAAAACCCAACGCAATACGACATTTCCAAGTATCTAACAGTGCGCCTAGCTGCATAGCATAACACGATACAACACAACACCGCCTGCAGAGACGAGAGGGCATTCATTTCTGGACTACGAGACTTTCCCTCTTACCATCTTCAAAATACAGACCGACCTGTCTTCTTCTCCCTCTTCTTTTTTTGGCCTTATATTCTATTTCGTCCTCTGTTGCTCCGAACAGCTTGGCTTTTACCCCATGCTCTCCAGCTCCATTGGAGTGCCCCTGACCTAGCTACACAACAGTACCAGTACCGGCCAGCACTACCACCACTAGAATCGTCGACGCGCCCACCTCTTCCTCAACGGCCACCAATCGTCAACCCCCCGTTCCCTATTTGCCCTGTGAGCATATCTGTTTCTCCGTCCTGAGGTCCTGCCTTCACAGGCTGATCTTGCTCAATTATCCGACTGTGACCCGCAACAAGATTGGATTGAAGAGTAGAGGCACAACAGACCGATCCTCCCCTGGCCCGCAGTTTGAACCCCCTCCCGTTTCGCCTACCGTGGGAGTGGGAGTTTGCGAAGCAGGACCCGCGTTTGTGTCTACGTCTGCGACAGCGATTGTGAGACTGCGCCGTGAGCAGACAGGACTCAGAATGGGTCGTAAGGCGGCACCGCAGCCGCTGGCGCTTTCGTCTCAGACTTCGCCTCAGGCCCAAGCCCAAGCACAAACCCAGTCTGAATCTGGCGCTGCTTTACGTAGTAGAGACGATTCGCGGACTGCTGAAACCGTCTCTCCAGGTGTGTCGCCGGTCGAGTCCCAATCGCCCCGTTCTCCCCGCTCCTCTCCTTTCCACAGTCGGTTTTCACCCTTGAGAAACCAAGGTGGAAAGCACAGGAAAGTGTCACACACGACAGCAGCATTAGCAGACGCAACTGCAGAGGGGAAGCCATCATCGTCAACGCCGCCACCACAACCATCAGCACCAGTGCCAATACCTGTACAACGGCCCTCAACTGCCACAGCATCTACCGAATGGAGTAGGGAAGAGTCTGTACCAAGACAGCCTTTACGGCACACGCGCGAGGATCCCTCGACCTATCCTTCCATCTCCTCTACACTTGAAGAACATCTACCTGATCCACCAGCAACAACTGCGGCTACCACGCAGTCTGAGGCGGTGCAGCTAATCTCAAGTGATTCGAAAAAAGGTGCTAAAAACGGTTTCTTCCATTTTAATAAGCAATCCAAATCTTCAAACCAGTCTCAACCGCATGCCCACCACCGTAAACACACCGAGACGAGAGCCCAGGTAATGTCGAGGGGCAGTGACGGATCCAATCGACCAAGACACGGAGGTATGTAAACATTGAGCCAAGCTTAGTTGGGACGATCCATTATACTTTAGCCATCGCGCGCAAGCCTAGGTCCATGACCAACTGCTGACATGATGCAGACAAACACGATCCAAGCCCAAGTGCCTCATACACCGACCATACTCTACACAAACCTGTCTCCGCCGATCCTCTTCGAAGCGACTTGTCTTTATCATCTGCTGGCGACTACGATACCGCTTCACCTCAGTCTTCAACAAAGAAAGGCAGGTCGAAGCCTTTTGGTCTACTGAACCGCAGCCGATCCAATCGCGACAAAGAAGACGCCAGCCCCGAGCTGAAACCGGCCTCCTCTCCTCGTCAGGGTAACGAACCTGAACTGCACCTCAATTCTGTGCCGTACAAGACTGCGAACCAAGGTGGTGATCGTTCTATCAGAGACATGATGAACTCTGCAGTCCGAAATCGATCCGAGGACCGCGCGCCGAGAGATTCGTCTTCTACCAGAAGGGCACAACGCGACAAGGAATCAAAGACCCAACCGTCCTCCCTGAACGAAAACGGGGGCTCTTTTTTCAACGGCCTCAAGAGCTCTGGTACCCGTGCTGCTGGCATGCTGAGTGACCGTTTCTTCAACAAGAGTGGGCGTGGTGGTCGAGAGGATAAGGATGCTCTCGACGATGAACACTATCAAATAAAAGTTATCAACTTACCACTAGTTGAGCAAACACGATTGACGAGAATATCAAAGCGCCTTGAGGATTCAAGGGATAAGACGGAGTTCTGGATGCCTGCCTTTCCTTGGCGAGCAATAGATTATCTAAACTATAAGGGGTGTGAAGTTGAGGGTCTTTATCGTGTTCCGGGCAGTGGGCCTCAGATTAAGAAATGGCAGCGCAAGTTCGATGAACGTAAGTTTATCCCATCTTCCTGGTAAGTGAAGGAACTCAAATTAACTTGGAACAGAATACGACGTCAACCTGTTCAACGAGCGCGACCTTTACGACATCAACATAATTGGTTCGATGCTAAAGGCTTGGCTACGAGAACTTCCCGACGAGCTGTTCCCTAAAGCGGCACAGGATCGAATCGCGAGGGAATGCGCAGGTGCTGAGGAAGTTCCTGAGCTACTTATCGAAGAGCTCTCGAATCTCTCTCCTTTCAACTATTATCTGCTTTTTGCCATCACATGCCACCTCAGTCTTCTCTTAGCTCACTCGGATAAGAACAAGATGGACTTTAGGAACCTGTGCATCTGCTTCCAGCCGTGTATGAAGATCGACGCATTCTGCTTTAAGTTCTTGGTGTGCGACTGGCGCGACTGCTGGAGAGGATGCAAGAACGAGGCCAAGTATATCGAGGAAGAATACATGATCTTCGACCAGCCTCCGCCAAGGGGTCTCGCTGAACCAGCGAAGCCAAGACCACAAGATGAGTCGGAGGACGACCGACAACAACTCTCCTCTTCGGGGAGCAGCAAGCAGTCAGGCCGCCTCAGCCCCAGCGACCAGAAACCAAAGCTGAAGAAGAAACAGCTCCAGATATCCCCCTCAAACGGAAGCGTCGTCTCGAACGAATCGACTGCCCCAACCACCTTGACCATTAACAGCGACCGCGAGTTAGGCAGAACCTCGAGCGAACTGCGGCCTTTGTCACCCATTATGCCTCTATCCCCCCTCGGCTTCTAAATTCAGAGACATCCTGATGACACGCTGCATTCCACAAGCATATTCACGCCCGGCTACCCATGGAGGTGGCCAGAAGGATAGCCGAGACAGAAAGACCGTACCTCAAAGGAATAGAGGTCTTGAGACCGGGATGAGAATGGACCAAGTGCCTAATCTATCTCAGCACCTCCCCGCTACTCTACCTCAACTGAGGGTAGATGTTTCAACTATCAACCACGGCCTCTGCCACGATGGAGTCTGTGACTTCATCTTTCAGCGATAGCCAATTCACGATGGCACGCCCTTTATGACCTTGTCATTCGATTTGATTGCGCATTCTGGTTGCTTCTAACGCTGGCGTTTCTGGAGAGTGGCCTAACGGTTTGGCAATGTGCAATCGAGCAAAACTTTCAAGGAATGCTTTGAAATCCGGTCCACCTATCCACGACACCAAGCGAGTGATGTTCTTAACCTGCACTTTGTCTTTTATCTGTTGTTTGGTATACCCCATGATGCATTTTGAGGAGAATATCGTCCAGGGGCGTGTTGTACCCTGTGTTAGTGGGGAATCTTGTTTGAAGTTCCAGCGTTTCTGATTCCGATGATTTATTGACAAGCATACTGCGTCTTTGCCCGAGCTGATTATGTAGCTGGTTCTCCGGCGCTCTGATGAGGCAAGCTACCTTAGTAAGAATGGTGTTTTGCCGTCATATTACAGTGAAATGAAGGCGACGCCAAGCAAGAGAGGAGCATGGAGATTACCAAAATATTGAGTACATCTGTTTCTGGTGACTGAAAATCGCCAAGAGAGGAGGATTGTTGGATAGTAGAGTTGAGATTGGCAGAGGCTACCTAGATAGTGCGCGGAATTTAGTAAAACATACTCTGCCAGAAATCGCTTATTTATTAATTGCATATTCTTCATCAACGTCAACTATCAGGTTGGGGGAGAACCCATGGCTGTTGTATTTCGTCGTGACGCACAGTCGGGGGACATGGACTCCATTTAGACACGGTCTGGTGAGTACCAGACAACAAGGAGATTGACAGCTGCAGCGTCTTCCTTTTTCATTCTTTTCTTCCAAAGCCGAACGTCTAAACCATCCCAAGTCCCTAGCTTTTAACATGCCGATTTCGAAACGCCAATGTCCTGAACGCCGCTCCATGCTCAACAACAGTAGTCTTGACCAAGGCCGACAAGAAATTGTCGACCAATTCCGTTCCTTCCAAAGCTGTCGCAGCCTATTTTCCTGTACCTTGAGCCTGGTTCTTGCGCATCTTTCGCTCGTTGCGCTTGATTCTCTCCTTGCGCTCTCTTCGACCATCGCCACGGATTGAGGTACCCTCTTTTCGCTTCTTCTCGGCTTCCATATCAACCTCGACGATGGGCCAGTCCTCGCCCTTCTTGTTGAGAGCCTTGTATCCCCACTTGCGCTGCCATTCGCCTGTCTGCTCGTCGAAGGCAAGATTGCGACGCTGCTCGCGAGTCTTGGGCTTAATGCCCTTCTTGGCGGCGAAGCGCTCCCACTTAGTAGGAGGCTTGGCCTGCGGAACAGGCTTCTCGCGGGGGAGACGGGTGCTCGGGGCGGGAAGGGTGAGAAGGACGCCCTCGGCGGTGGAGTTGAGAGGGCAGGTGGAGAGGAACTGGTTGATGAGTGACTGGGCGCCGTCGCGGGCAAGCTCGGCGAGGGACTGCTCGAGATTATCGCGGTCGAGAGTGACGGGGTTGGGGTCCTCTGCGAGAAGATGGCCGAGATCGAATGTGTAGGGCGTGGGCTTCTCGACTGCGACAGGCAGCTTTGGCTTAGAGCTTGGGAGCGCCATTGCGATATTCGTGCGAGTAAATAATATTTATAAAGGCTGATGCTGAGGTCTCTTGGAATTTGTCATAAACTTGTCAAAGGATGAACATGAACAGGTTTGTCGTTGCAATCCGCTCTCTTGTTATGGTACTGCTACTGGAACTTTTTTTTCTGAGATCCTCCATGCTACACTATCTTTTTTCTGCACCGATAAGGCATGTCGGATCAGTGGGCAGCCGTTTTTCCGATACAGGGCCTATAAGCCAATCACAGGACCCCAATCCTTTCTCTTACCCCAGTACCTCTGGGGTGTGTGGTTTAATCCACCGAGATTTTCGAAGTGGCATTCAACTTCAGCTCACGACGGCCTCGAGACGAGCGTCCTAGAACCGACCCAATTGGCGTCCATTCGACGATAGACGTCGTTCTCGTCATAGATATCCAAGAAGAGTCTGTCAGACGTCAATTTGGAATACTATTGCAAGCAATGGCGTCCGCCAATTCGCTTCGATGCCTCATGAGGCCGACTATTCCCAGGGCTCCTCGAATTCAACCAGTCCTCCTCGCCCCATTTTCAACTTCAAACGCTGCTCTCGCCGTCTCAGCTCCTCCGGCAATCAAGAGCCGCCGAGATCTTCCCCAGAAGGTCAAGAAGTCCTATAAGAAACGTGCCAATGTGACGCCTGTCCGAAAACCTCAGCCTGGCGAGCGAAAGGCCTTCCGAAAGCGCATCCAGCTCAGCAACAACAGTGCTCTGCCTGTCGCAGGCCTTGAAAATCTGGATGCCAGTAACATGACCAAGGCTGAGAGCGCTGGAAAGATGTTTGCTATTCCTGATCAGGTTGTGGATCATCTCCGTGCCCTCGAGGCTTTCAAGACGACACAGACATGGAACCTATTCCGAAAACCCCATGTTCTGCAGCGCAGAGAGACAGTAGAGTTGATGAAGAAGCTTGAGCTATCGGCCAAGGACAAGAAGGCTCTTAAGTGTGTGTTGACGGGTAGTAAGTTGTCTGGAAAGAGTATGGCCATGCTACAGGCTATGGCATATGCGCTTCTTAACAACTGGGTGGTATTCCATGTCCCTGAAGGTACATATCCCCGAAGGACCTCCTCACGTTTTCATACCTCTAACTGACCAAAACAGGTCAGGATCTGACCAACGGTAACACTGAATACTCACCCATTCCCGAGACTGAGCCAATGCAGTTCTCCCAACCCATCTACTGTCTCAAGATGATACAGAGCCTCTATAGAGCCAACCGTGTCGTTCTTGAAAAACTCAACATCGAGAAGGACTGGTCCAAGTTCACTAACCTCAAGGAGGGCGCTACCCTCGCTGATCTGGCTCTCAGCGCAAAGGAGGCCGAGTACGCATGGCCAACCCTCCTTGCCCTATGGACTGAGCTCACCCTGCCTGGGCGACCCCCCGTGCTCTTTGCCCTCGACGGTCTTGCCCACATCAATAAGATTAGTGATTACAGAGACCCCTCGTTTAACGAGGTCCATGCCCATGAACTGACTCTAGTACGCCTCTTCATTGACGCCCTATCTGGCAAGACTCCTCTCCCTAATGGCGGTGCTGTCATCGCCGCTACCTCAGAGAACAACTCCCACCACCACCCCTCACAAGAGCTTGTTCTCTCACAGCTCGAGGCGGGCCAGGCGGGCCGCGAGATTCCCAAGCCTGACCCCTACGAGCGCAAGTACGACGAGCGTGTGTACGAGGCCCTCAAGAACAGCTGGGTTCTCCGTCTTGAGGGTATCACGAAGGACGAGGCTCGTTCTTTAATGGAATACTGGGGCGCCAGCGGGCTGTTCCGCCATGTTCTCAATTCAAGGACAGTATCCGAGAAGTGGACCGTGGGCGGCCACGGTAATGTTGGTGAGATGGAGCGTGCTGCATTGATGCAAATGAGGCTGTAAATGTATTCTAGAAATGTACAATACTGGTGTTTGAAACCCGAAATATGCATTGCTTCTTTGCAAACCATTTGTGCTATAGGAACAATTAAAGCTTTATGCTTGTGTATTACAGCTGAGTTATTGGTTGGTGTTTGTTGTGATAGAGACTTCATGCCTAATTCTCATCATTGACAGAGCTCTACCAGCAGACTATTCTCATCTACCTTCATATGCCGAAACGCCAGACCTTTACATAGAACATCTCACTTCATTACATGCCCAGTTCTCAGAAGTCCATGTCATCCTCTTGGTCGTTATCAGGGTCGCTGTTGACAAATACCAGTCTTGCACCGTTCCTGGTGGTTTGCCAGAGCTGTTAACGATTGTTAGTGATTTGTTCAGGTACGAAGGAATGTCTCTTAAAAACTTACATCGATGGAGGTATACTCTTGCACAGCGTTGAACCACTGGTCGGCGGTAAAGCCCTGGGCGATGACTCGCGCCTTTAATTGCGTCATACTCAGCTCAATACCGAGCTCTTCCTCGCCAGCGGCATCTTCGGGACGGCATTGGCCGGCATCAGCAAGCTGCTTGACGAAATTGTAAATCCTGCTGCTGGGATCCATGCGCGCTCGACCAATGCCAAGATCATTGTTCAGACTTTCTTTGCTAGCCTCGACTAGTCTGAGAGCCTCATCAACATCGTCTTGAGTGACCTCATTGCTGAATCGAAGTCGGGCCAGGGCCTGGGCCAGACGGACAACACCCAAGAGGGTACGAGGGGTTGTGTGGGTAAACTGCTTGCCCTTCTTCTCAGCGCGCTGCTGCTGGTCTCGCATGCGTACGTATGTCTTGATCATGTACTCAGAGACAGTTTCAGGAACAACAGGTCGGTATGTTCTCGCTTGAGCGATGTAGGATCGCACTTCATGAGGACTGAAGACAACATTATCAGTGCCGATATCGGGATGTCGGCTATTCATGTGCACAAACGCAACGTGCTTGGCAAGCTGTTCGTCTGTTTCGCGCGTAGGGGTATCAAGAAGCAGGAATAGGATATCGAAACGGGACAAGAGCGCAGCTGGGAGGTTGATGTTTTCGACAGGGGAGATGCGAGGATTGTATCGTCCATAAACAGGGTTAGCGGCGGCAAGAATAGAGGTGCGGGCGTTGAGGGTTGTTGAGATTCCGGCCTTTGAAATGGAAATTGTTTGCTGTTCCATTACTTCGTGAATGGCAGTACGGTCAGTCTCGTCCATCTTGTCGAACTCATCAATACAGCAGATTCCGTTATCGGCCAGGACGAGAGCACCACCTTCGAGAACCATTTCATCCGTGACAGGATCACGCATAACAGCAGCCGTGAGACCGACACCACTGCTTCCACGACCTGAAGTGTAGACGCCACGAGGGGCGACCTTTGAAATGTACTTAAGGAGCTGAGACTTGGCCACACCAGGATCACCCATCAAGCAGATGTTGATATCGCCACGAATCTTCATTCCATCTCCCATTTCCTTCGTCACACCACCAATAAGTAGAAGGAGAAGAGCCTTCTTGACATCAAGATGTCCGAAGATTTCGGGAGCAATCGACTTTGCCAACAGTTCGTAGACTTGGCCAGTCTGGCGGTATTTTTCAATCCGGCGGACCAGTGTGGGGTCAACAATCATCTCACTGTACGCCTTTTTGTGTTGGAGAACGTGATGTGCCTCGAGATAAGTATCGGTGAGCAGGCCAGCCTTCATCGCCTTGAAACCTGTATAAGGGGTGGGAAGGAAGATGCCTGAGATATCGACAACATCACCAGGGTTAATCTGGCGGACAAGAGTGCCATGGCAGAGGACGGTAAGACTTCGAGGAATCTGACCAATTGGGACCTGCTCGGCCATCTCCTGGACCTTGACCTCCTGGAAAGGCAAGAACTTTGAGGCTCTTGAAGAAGGGTTGAGTTGACCCTTGGCCTGGTTCTGCCTGCAGTCCTCGGAGGGGCACATAGTTAAGGGGCCATATTGCTTGTCAGTAACAGGCTGGAAGATTTCACAGCCACATCTGTCGCAAGTGTAGGCGCTGACTTGAACAATGGGTTTGACATCAGAAACTCGAGTGGCGATCGCGCGAATGGTAATAAGATGACCCAAGTGCTCGCCGCGCACTTGTCGAACTGCCAAAGCTTTTGAGGATTGGCTTGAGGTGCTAGTCCTGGGCTTGAACACGAGGGTGTACCTGCGAGTGAGCTCGGCAGGGAACTTGTCATCTGCAGCAGTAGGGTCTCGCTCAGCGGCTTCGTCCAGTTCTCGGTTTCGGATTTGTCGTCGAGCCATCAACACGTCGAGAACATCGTCCTTGAAGCTATTCGCTGGTTAATGCGGTGCATCAACATTTAGGTCACTTGAGTACTCACTTCACATCTGCGCTCATTGGAGGCATGACCTCATCCACAGCTCGGGAAAATATTTCGACGTAGTGTTTTGTGTTCATCTCGATGGAATCAACAAGTCTCATACTGTCCTCACCATCGAACGCTTGGTTCTCCCACTATAAGCTTGTTAGTACTTTGCCGGAGAAAGGAATATCGCAAATCATACGGTTGCTAAATCGTCAAGATCAATCGTCGCCTCGTCGATCGTTCGATCGGAGAGTTGCTGCAGCATATTCTTGTACTTGTACTGAGGAGCACGGCGCTCCTTCGCTTGTTGCCGGTTCGCATCTTGCCCATCCTCCTCCATTAAATCGTACTCGTCGTCGAGGTCATCTTCTCCGATGGTGATATTGCCTAGTGCAGTTGTGATGGTTTGCTCTGGCGATGTCTTGAATCCTGTCAAGAACTCCTGGAAGGCGTCTATACCGATGATTAGCTTATGCGGGGAGCTAAGTACAGTAGCAGCAGGAAATACTGACGTTGCTGCTTCTCATAGCTGACAGGGGCCTTGAACTCGCGCAGCGCCATTGTGAAGAAATCTTATAAGGATCTCAAATTTGAAGAGCGCTGTAAGTCAAGTTTGTGCGGTGCGGTGCTGTATAGTACAAAGCGAATGGAGAGATGCGATCGCGATGCACAAATTGAGTGGACTTGGGGCCAGTCGCAGGGGGGCAACCGTGGTTGCGATGGGCCCTCCCTTCCAAGCGCGCACATCAAACGCGTCTTTTCGCGTTTCGCGACGCACAGCCATATGTAGAGTTTAATTGACACCCGCCACAGCCACAGCCGCCACCTACAGCGGTATCGCAGGAAAGCATGGGCCACCCACCGAAACCGTAAAGCTGGGGAAGGGGACGGGGATGATCACCGAGCACGTGTAGGGACCTCGGCTGCGGGACAAGAAAGGGACTCCAGATCGGAAATGTTTCGGCACCTGAGCTGAGGTGTTCTGCTTCTTCCCACAGACAAGTAATAAAATTCTCCCGCGAGAGGTCGACTCAATCGAATTCGAGAGTCTTCTCAATTGCCTAAGCGCATCATGCCTCCCAGACGAAATGCGCAGTCCGTCTCGGCGGAAATCTCCCTATCTCACCTCAAAAGCTGTTTGGTCAACCTTCCTACATCACTGGTCTCGCTCCTAGTCAATGTCAATACTGTAGGAACTTTCTTCTTCACTGATTTGCTCTGGCGATTTTCTGACCATAGCTTATAGCCTGCACAAAATGTCATCATTGAGCTCAGCTATCGTGAGGCCTCGCCGACTGGAGCCGGCTCCCAGCAACGCTCCATATTCGTAGGATGGACAGGCATGCCCAGCAAGAGGAGGACCGCTCCTCCTGGGACCCGCGATGGACCCAATGGCTCGCGATCATCCCGCGATCAGGAGGTTCAGCTTGTCGAACTTGATGCCACACTAGCCAAGTCACTAGGTATTTCAGAAGGGCAGAAGATCATGGCCACCATTCATCTCGATCCTCCGCTGGCGCATACGATCAACATTGAACCCCTTACACCGGAGGACTGGGAGATTATTGAGCTACATGCGACATTCCTCGAACTGAATCTCATCTCTCAAATTCGAGCGCTCCCGAACCCGCTATACAAAATTGGCGACAACCCCGTCGAGCCCCATGCGTTGACACTACATCTATCTCCGACATCGACCGCAAATATCAAAGTTATTTCACTGGATCCTTCGCCTCCGGCCGACTTGCCATTCGCAAAGATATCCCCCGATGCCGAGGTCATCGTTGCGCCAAAGACGAGGCAAAAGAGCTCGCACAGCTCGGGCGACCACCGCAGCGTAGCCAGCACTTCCAAGTCCAAACGAAGCGCGACCAGTACGGTGCGCCGGCGAAGCGCCAAGGAAGAGCGGAGACCTACTATGTTTCTGCGTGGTCTTGACCGAAGCTCATGTGAAGAATGGTTTGATGAAGGGCCCCTGGTTCAGGACTTGAGTGTTTGGGTTGATCACGACCTTCTCTCCGGCGAAGCCTTCAAAGGGGTCAACTACGTCGCGGTTGATGTTATTAGACCAGCTGGTCTGCAACAGCCTCAACCAGAAGAAGGCGGCGTTCCTGCTGGGACGACTGCGGCCACAAAAGTCATTGCTCATCTTAGATCATGGATTGATCCTCCCAACAGTCAATCAGTTGCTCTTTCGTCACCCCTTTGTGCAAGTCTTGGGTGTTCTGGCATGGTTGGCGGGATAGTAAAGCTTCAAGCAGCTCCACAGCAACTCCCCAAGACTGCGGTTCAGAGCATCAAGGTTTTTCCTTTCGCCACAAGTGCAAAGACAGTCGAAGGTCTGCGGTTTGGTGGAGAATCCAAGGCTGAGAAAGAAGAGTCTGCGAAGCGGTTCCGACAGATCTATGCCGCTACTAGAGGTACTGATGGGCTTCTTCAAGGACCTCTGACAGACGGCTCCATCATGGGCTTATATGAAGGTCTCGATCCTCCTCAGGGGTGGGAAGGCGGCATCATTAAATTTACCTTTGGTGGTGATTTTCAGGAGAACAAAGACGCTGCGAATTGGCTTCTTGGACTCGACACTAAACTGCCTATTGACTTTCAGCCACCAACTCCTCGACCATCCCGGCTGACCGAGACGGACGGGTTTGAGCGTCAACCAACCCACGATTCGCTCCTTGTTGGAATCGACTCCTTGCTGGATAATTTACAGTCTAATCTTGTGCACCTTTCTTCTGTCCTTCTCACTGGTGGCATGGGATCCGGAAAATCTTCTATTGCTCGATACTTGGCACAAAAACTTCGAGGAGATTCATTATTCCATACATTATACTACCCTTGTCGGAAACTAGTCAATGACGAGACACGAATCTCAACGATAAAGGAAACTTTGAACCGTTTGTTCGCCACTGCCAGCTGGGGTGCACGCTTAAACGGAAAAGCTGTGGTAGTTCTTGATGACCTGGACAAGCTTTGTCCTGTAGAAACAGAACTTCAGGTTGGCAATGACAATGGAAGGAGCAGGCAAGTCGGTGAGATCCTGTGCTCGATCGTCAGACAATACTGTACCCGCGACAGTGGTGTTGTTCTCCTGGCCACAGCTGAGGGCAAGGAGTCAATCAATGGTGTTGTAGTCAGTGGCCATGTTGTGCGCGAGATCGTCGAACTCAAGGCACCTGATAAGGAATCGAGACGTCGAGTGATGGAGTCTATCGTCATGCAGGATGCCATGACGGCTGACGAAGCTCAGACACAGTTCAGCGATGAAAGTCGACCACAAACTGCTGACGGCAGCATGACGGAAGACAGTGGTGCTTGGATGGACGGCGCTAGTCATGCGAGCAAGGAGAGCCGTCCGGCAAAGACGAGCGGCTTCATCTTGGACCCAGACCTTGACTTTCTTGACATTTCTGGGTCTACAGACGGCTATATGCCTGGCGACATCAATGTCCTTGTGTCTCGCGCGAGGAACGAGGCTATCATTCGTGCCATTGCTGAGTCGCCAGACTCGACAGGCGCCATTCACTTGGCAAGGGCTGATTTTGATAAGGCGCTCAAGGGGTTCACGCCAGCCTCATTGAGGAATGTGTCACTGCAGAGTTCGTCAACAAGCTTCAAGTCCATTGGAGGGCTGCAAGAGACACGACAGGTGCTCCTGGAGACGCTACAATACCCGACTAAATATGCGCCAATCTTTGCGCAGTGTCCACTACGCCTTCGATCTGGCCTTCTTCTTTACGGATATCCCGGTTGCGGTAAGACGCTTCTTGCCAGCGCTGTTGCAGGCGAGTGTGGCCTCAATTTCATCAGTGTCAAGGGCCCTGAAATTCTGAACAAGTATATCGGTGCCTCTGAAAAGAGTGTCCGGGATCTGTTTGATAGGGCCCAGGCTGCGAAGCCATGTGTACTCTTCTTCGATGAGTTTGACTCCATTGCACCTAAGAGAGGGCATGACTCTACAGGTGTTACGGATCGTGTGGTAAACCAGCTTCTCACGCAGATGGATGGTGCCGAGGGATTGTCAGGTGTCTACGTGCTGGCAGCTACTTCACGGCCTGATCTGATCGACCCTGCTCTTCTTCGTCCCGGCCGTCTGGACAAGTCTTTGCTGTGCGATATGCCTTCCCTGGAGGATCGTGTCGACATCATCAAGGCGCTGTTTCAAAAAGTCAGACTCTCGGACGAGCTGACCGAATCCGATGGGCCTCTGACGGACATTGCTCGCCGTACTGAGGGCTTCTCGGGTGCTGACCTCCAGGCTCTTGTGTCCAATGCTCAGCTCGAGGCTATTCACGATGTTTTGGACGTTGATGGGCCTACAGTCACTTCTAAACGAACCAACGGAACCGATGGCAAGTCGAACACCACACCTAGCTTCGTCCAGTTCCGTTACGGCAAAGACGCCAAACCCCTGACCGAAGCGACTCCAAAAAGCAAGTCCGCTGCTCTGGTCGAGAACGCATCTATTTTGGCAAAGCTTGAAGAGATCAAGATAGCTCGTAAGAAGTCGAAGCAGATCCACGGGGCTCCCGCCGCCAACACGGACGCCAAGGCGGAAAGCAGCGATCAGAGGGAGGTGGTCATCGAACGGGGCCACCTCATAAAGGCTCTGGATAGCACACGGGCGAGTATCAGTTCTGAGGAGAAGGCCAGATTGCAAAGGATATATACCGAGTTTGTTGTCGGTAGAAGTGGCCAAATGAAAGATGGACAGGGAAGTATGGAGATTGGAGGCCGAAGCAGCTTGATGTAAGATATGGATTTGGCATGTATAGAATATCGATGTGAACGTAAATACCAGCATCTTGGATTAAATTTCGTTATCTTTTGAGATTCTTGATAGACCTTTTTATTTTATAGCTGGTTAAGTGGAGGCATCTTCAGCAAGAATCTTCTTCATACTCTCAAGAACGGCAGCGTGGATACCCTGCCTCGCTGCAAGCAAGCCATTGTTCTGGCTCAGATCCCTTCCAGCTCCAAAGTCCATATCCTTGCCGTCAAGATCGGTTACTTTGCCACCGGCCTCGGTCAAGATAAGTTGGGCCCCAGCATGATCCCAGATGTGCATTACCACATCGTCAGATGAAGGGATACGCAGCTGGAAATCGCCGCCGCCAACGAGGAGTGCCGCATAACGGATGTGTGATGAGTACAGCTCGATGTTGGGGAATTTAGCACCGAAAGAGCTTGCGAGTTTGCGGATGAGGTCGTGACGAGATGTCGAGCCACTCGAGTAGTTGATGATCTGAGCTTCAGCGGGACTTGAGGCTTTGGCGACGCTGTCAAGAGGCTGAGCTGGCTGGAGACCGCTGAAGTCCATCTTGCGAATCGTGGTGCCTTGTCCGCGAACTGCGGTGAGCATAAGACCCAAACCATCCTTGTCGATGGTTGACTCTGCAACTGTATCGTCCACAGGCTTGAGGTTTGCACAGCCCAAAACACCAACGACCTCCTTTCCATCCTCTACCAAGGCTAGGGAAACAGCGTATTGTTCCCCCTTGAGGAACGTAGCTGTTCCATCAATAGGATCCATTACCCAGAATCGCCCATTTCTCCCACCCTGACCGCGTCCTCCAAGATCAATCACCTCAAGAAGCTCATCAACATCTTTGGGGCTCGCAAGGAGGGCATCATCGTCTGCGTTCTCGAGGTGAGCGCCAGAGGCAAGTTCCCAAACACGCTGCTTCAAGGCCGGATCTTGTCTAAGAGCGCTGGAGTCTTCCTCGCCGACGAAGTGGTCACCGGGAAATGCCTTGCGGAGGGCGCTGATGAGAACAGCTTGAGCGGCGAAGTCAGCAGCGGTGACGGGAGAGTCGTCTGCTTTTGAAATGCCACTGACGGTCGATTGGACTCTTTTTGTGAGGATTGATGCCCGTAGCACGGCGAGCTCTGCGATTTGACGCTCAAGGGTGTAGGATGACATGATGGCGTTGTAGTGTTGGTGGAGGTTTCAGGATTGTTATTTGGTGAGCTGCTGCAATATGCGGTGCTGATAAGAGGTAGCGTATTTTATTATGATGCGATTATTCAGGTGATGTGATGCATGAGAATGAGTGAGAGGACGAGGCGGTGATTTGGTGTTTCCCCACGGATCCACAGCATATCATGATGCAATCAATGAGCGTCGTTTATTTGTTCATGTAAGGATACAGCAAGAGACATGAGCAACAACAAATAATGACCATCTAGTATTGGTAGTTGTGCTCGTACTGTGGCCCAAGATACGAGATGTCTATTTCAGAGGTAATAGGAACTTGAATCGATGTCTTTCACAGTATTCGTGGTTATTGAATTTGTTTGCCCGTCATTCGTCCAAGTCAAGAACTGCAGGATGCTTGGGTATAATCAAGACTTTTCCCAAAACATCCATTCTGTATAATGCCTCTGATACGGCATTTAAGATTCTAGATTGAGTATCATTGAGGTATGAAAGTGACCCAATAGGCAGTGGCTTGTCTCTCTGGTAGCTATGATGCTACCTAGGCATAGACTATCGCTTGATCAAGTTCGCCATGAAGACCTCTATACTAATGAGTCACATCAAGTTAATCGTTAGATATTCTTCGATGCACCTTTGAGGAGTTTGACAGTTGCGATGACGCTTAGAATAGGAGACAGCTGGGACTACCATGCAAGCCTTGTCAGTTTATTCATACTCGCAAATAACTCATTTCAGCGCAACGACCCTCAGAAACTTACTTCTTAATGAACGATATGGCATATTTTATTCATCGTGACAAACAAAAGCGCCAAGATCTACTATATAAACCTCCCCTTTAACCTTCATCTTGACTTGTTGACAATTTCCAAGGTCACAACCCAGTGTTGACAGACTATCCAAGTCATAAACATGATCACTCCCATCTGTAGCTGCTTCTGCTTCCTCAACTGACAGTCTCTTCGTCTTGATCTTGAGAACTTTCGATGTGTTTGGATCTGAGGATGTGTACTCGATGTAAAGGTTGAATGAGTTGAGCCTTATTCTTTTCGTTGAATCCTTTTTCACTTGTTCCCACGCCGTCGGACTATCGCTTGACTTGTGATCGGAACGCTTCGGTTCTGGAAAACAATTGCTTGACTGCCGTGTTTGATATGTCTCTGGACTTGTGATCTTGTTCGGCTCGTACTCAGTCTCCTCGGACGCGATATCATTTGGCTCTCCAACTGAAATAGGGGCTTGTTCTTGGATTTTTCAGTTTCATTGGCCGGCTTCTGCGTCAGAACCATGGTCTCCTGCGAACTTATTGGGGAGTTTCTAGGTATTAAGGAGACTTCGGTGCTCTCAACGTCCAGGTTCTTTGTCTTTGTCTTGACTCCAGCTTTAGATTGTCCTGGTTTCGTTGGTGGCAGCAGACATATCGCAGGCCGTTTCTCATCTATCGTATCTAAAACCTCGTTGTTTATCCCAGTATTGGTAAGCGTCATTGCTGGTTGCATATCTTTCGTTTCCCTGGATCTGTTCAGAGAGGTTGTAGAAGTAGCAACTAACGATATTGTGCTCTCCAAAGGGTCAATGTTCTTCTCAAACCCCTGTTGATTTACCACGTTGAGTCTTTCCACAGCAATGCGTTCAAGTTCTCTGACAAATAGTCTCCTAGTCTCATTGAGCCCGGTCGATGGTAGTCTCCATCCAGGATAGATTCTCCTGTGTGTTTTGGGTATCATGTACTTTCCATGGAACGATATAAAGGCGTTACATAGGAAACACGCATCTTTGTTGGAGGCGAGAACTCGGGGAGGCTTCGAGCTTGGGTGATGCTCAAGGTGCCACATAAGTTGAATTTCAGCGTGAATCTTTGGCTCATTCGTGACTCTCAAAAAGTCCTCCCAGAACTTTTTCGTATTCGTTGCCAGTCTTTGGCCGAAGTTGTCCAAGTCCCAGTTGGTGTTGTACTCCTTTTTAAGCTTCTTCAAATGCTCTTCCAACTTAAAACCCACAGTTTCTGCTGGTGGCTTCCCGAAGGCTGTGTCGTCAAGTCTGACGGCAATAGTAGAAGTACGTCCAAGTATCGAATACCTCCTCGAAAGCTTCACAAGGGTCCAGGCACAGGTTTTGTAGTGCGCCAACTTATGAATGGTGTTCAATAAGCCACTGCACAAGTCCGGTTCCATCCTCGGTCCAATATCTTCGAGTAGCATTGTTGAAAGACTTGATATTCTCGATATATCGGCAAAGGTGTTGATGATCAACTCCAGCTTCTTGTCCAATGCTGATGTGTTGGATGGACCTTGTGCCAACTTGATTTGAAAAGCATCTATTCTGGAAATAAGCACTTGGCTCAGTCTCATGTACTCCCTCTTATCGTCATTCATTGTGAATCGAGCCATTTCTTTCTTGACTTTCTTTAATATGGTATCAAAGCCTTGTCTTTGGCCGCGCCTGATGAATCTCGCTCTGCTCATTATTCGGCTTCGACACATAGAGATGACGATACTGATAATCCGACAATGAAGGCTCTCAGAAGATACTGGCCTTTTCATCAGAGGGTTCAGAAGATGCCTGCTTTGGCCCTTGACTCACCTGGAGTCTCTCGATTGAGTGATCTGAATATCTTATCAAACCCTTCCTTGACAGCGTCAAGATACGATGATGAGTTATGACTATCTTTTGCATTGGCTGCAACCATCACCACAACACTAGATTTCTTCTCTTCTACGCAGACTGCTGTGACGCTCATAGCATCATCTCGAATACTCGAAAGAAACGCCAGTGTTGACGTGAGTAACTTCTCATCCTGCAAAGACAGTGCCCTGTTGATGTCTGCTTTGCGTATAGGTTCACAGTCTTGAATACTGTTCTTTTGGGGCTTGCAGCCAATTCTACCAAGGTAGTAAAGAAGGGCGATGTTTCGAGCACATTCGATCTCGGTGTTAGTCACTGACATATCTGGCTGAAACTAGCTAGAACAGGGAGTCGCATAGAATATTGGACATCTCAAAGAAAGCAACTATCAGATATCTACGAAGCAACCATATTTTCAACCTCCATGCCAATAAGCCTGATGACGAGTAACACACATTGTGGTTGGTTGCAGCCTGCAGGAGGCCGACCAGCGGCAAGCTTGCTGCAGCCTTGTAACAGGCGTCACCATGTGCTACATAATCACAGCATTATATATACTGCGTGAAAATATCATACATATCGAGGTGGGACAGGTTACTGCGAACCTTGGAGTTATTCATCTTTCTTTATAGTTTAGAGCTTCTATCAACCCAAGCAGAAGCCATCGCCTGGCAGTTGTTGCTCGTTTCTTTTTTATCCACCGTCCATACCATGCAGTAATCTTCATCTAACAACAATATGGATCTCTACGCATTGTGTTGGTCTCCGCGTCACCTTCTCACCTCCTATTCTTGAGGTGTATTGAGCAGATGACCAATACCGAGCCCCAGATAACAAATCCGGTTCAACAAAGACACGCAACGCTAGCCCAGCTCAAATGCATAAGACGTGCCCCCACAACGTACCTGTGTATAATCTTGGCAACAGCCAAGTCGATCAAGACGAGACAACTCCACCTATGACAAGTCCTATGCCATGCTATCCGGGTATGATCTGAACCTGAGCCTCAAATCTTTCCACACGTAGCTCTTGCTCAAAATGCAGTGAAGTGTAGTAAAGGGCAAACATGCTGACAGCCCCTGTCTTTTGAGGTATGCGCAACCAAACGCCGATCCTATGCCGGAAACTGAATAAAAAGATGCTCAAGTCATAATGAAACAATATCAGGTATAATCTGCTCGTAACAGGTAGGTAGGTGTGTTTGGTTTGGTTTCGTACTGGTTGTTCCTTGTTAGGAATCGTCCGTTGCTTTTCTCAAGCCGACGGTGACGGTGACTATGCACCATTGGTTTTGGTCGAACCGGATCCCTTGCTACGGGAATGTAGAGTGCGATACATGTTGCTCAATCGCTTTCCCGTGACGCTCTTGCTTGTATCATCTACGGGCCACAAAGCTGCCAGAAAGTCCCTATCATCAGTGTTAGTTGGGCCCGTCACAAGAAGCTGTCCATCATCATAAGACTTACCAGAAGTTGCTCTTGAGACCTTCGTCAGCAGCAGTGGCCGCCAATTTCTCGTCGAGGAAAGTGCCGATAACGACCAGCTCGACGCCAAAGATAGACGCCCGCTCCTTGCTTGACTTGACGTTGTCCTTGGTTGTAGAGAGAATCCTCTCAAAGTTCTCTCGGACCGGTTTGAGTAGAAACCAGATCATGGCGTCGTTGTCCTCGGCTCTCTTATCTTTGTTGTCGCCAATTCGGCGAAGTTCGTCCAGCCTTCGCAGAGCCTTGGCTCGGCGCTCATCCTGGGGATGCGAGTCATGGGCTCGCTCTCGCTCTCGTTCGCGATCACGATCACGCTCACGCTCACGCTCACGCTCACGATCTTCACGATGTCGGTCATGTCGTCGATCATCACGACGGTCGTCACGTCGGTCATCTCGGCGGTCTTCCCGACGATCGTCGCGATGACTGTGGCTGAGGCGATGTTTATCATGTCGCCGGTCATCCCGTCGTTCATCTCGGCGCTCATCACGACGGTCCTCATCATCCCGATGACGCCGCTTCTCTGACCTCTCCCTGTCCTCTCCATGCTTACTGGATCGACGATGCTCCTCGATGCGGCGGTGCTTGGGGCTGCGGCTATCTTCATGAGATAGATGTTTCCGCTTGAAATCCGGTCGTGGGGTTCCACGCTCCTCCGCATGGCTTCGGGATCGGTGCAGGTCACCATGGAGGTGGTCTCTGTCGCGGTCGCGAGACTTCTTGCCGTTGTGCGGAGCAGGAGACGCTGTGGCACTCCCGCGGTGGCCATTGGCAAGTGACTTTTTGTTGTTGCGGTGATGATTCTCTACTGCTCGCTGCACACCACGATCATTAGAGTGCTTCGCTTGCAGGACTGAAAGCAGATACTCTGATCGACGAACAAGGTGAACGGCGCCAGGAGCCTTCATCTTGTCATTACCCTTGCTACGTTCCTCTTTCTTCTCTACGCGATGTTCTTCGAGGAAGAGTTTGTCTGCCATGTCCAGATCAGGATCGTCGCGAATCTGCGGCCAAGCGCCAAAGCCGTGTCTGTCAATACCGACTAGGAGCATAGCATCTTCCTTAGCGCCCCAAGCACAAGAGTAGCTAGCGGCCTTCGTCGCGTCAGGGAGACGAAACGTGTGCCAGTCATTGTGGCTGCGAATGACTTGTCGGAGAAGTTGAAGCTGCTTCGGACGTTCTATGGCCGTTTCAGCATTGACTTTCTTGAGATCGCCAAAGTCTATCAGGACAGCTTTGCGGTCCTTCTTCGTGAGAGTCTTCCCGAGTCTCTTTTCTTCTTCCACCATCTGAGCATAGTTATCGTCCACGGCCTCCTTGGCTGCCTTGATGAATTCATCGAGGACCGACTTGACGTAGTCTGGATCCCTTTCTTTCAGCTTGGCTTCCTTGATGATTTCATCGCCGCGGTCATCCATTGAGCCGTAACGGAAATAAGCCTTTATTAGACTACGTTGTTCCTTATCGTTCAACGGGCGCTTAGGATCGAGAGGCACGGGCCGTCGATCATCCTCCTCCTTGTCTTGCTGCTCCTTCTGACGTTTCTTGAGGCGAACATCACGCTCGCTCTCTCTGTGGCGGCTCTTGATGGCCGCTCTGCGTGGAGCACTTTCAGCCGCCACCTTGGCAACGTAGGCCTCATGCTGTTTCTTTTCTTCCTCGGCCTTAATTTCGGCGATCTTATCGGCGGGGATAATTTGATCCCAATCAAGGTTGATATCATCCACTTTCACATCAGTAATTTGCATGAAATTGTCCCAGTCGATGCCGCCACTGCTTAGGTTTATCTTGTCGTCGACCTTCGTCTTGGTGACCTCAGCGTTCTCAAGAATCGAGTCAATGTCGAGTTGTTCAAGCCGTTCTTGGTTGCCGCTCTGTTCGAACATCTTAGATGATCGCATCTTGAGAACCATTTGGATATCTTCAGACGAAGACGGGCCTTCGACCCTGAGACCCTTCTTGTTGAGTTCCTCCTTGAAAGCTGCCTTACCATCGTCAGTGACACCAGCCTGGATGGTCAGGTATTCGAGTAAGAGTTTGTTGCGAGCCCTTTCGAGAACCTCCTCCTCGACAGTCTCCTTGGACACTAGGCGGTAGATGTTTACAGGACGCTTTTGGCCGATGCGATGGGCACGAGCCATGGCTTGCAAATCAGCTTGAGGGTTCCAATCAGAGTCGAAAATGATGACGGTGTCTGCCGTCATGAGGTTGATTCCAAGACCACCTGCACGAGTAGAGAGAAGGAAGCAAAAGTCATCGCTGTCATCAGCGTTGAAGTGGTTGATGGCCATGCGTCGGGGACCAGCAGCAATAGTGCCGTCCAGTCTCTGGAACTTGTAACCTCGCAGAGAGCAGTAGTCACCAAGAATATCAAGCATTTTGACCATCTGACTGAAAATCAGGACTCGATGGCCATCTTTGTTTAGCTTGGAAAGAAGTTGATCGAGTAACATCATCTTTCCACTACTGGCAATTAAGCCCTTGATTTGATCTTCACGGCGGACGCTGCCGGCCAGGACCTTCTCCTCAGCACCAGGAAACATGTAAGGATGGTTACTGATCTTCTTTAGTTCCATCATGATATTCAGGAGAGAGTTCTTGTGTCCATTAGTGGCGTCGCAAAGGGCTGTGTAGTTTCTGGTCAGGATGTTCTTGTAGTACTCCAGCTGGACATCTGAAAGCTCAACGCGGATAATCTTTTCAGTCTTGGGAGGAAGATCTGACTCGACGGTTTCCTTGGTTCGTCGCAGAATGAAAGGTGCAATGGCCTTGTGAAGTTGTTGTAGTTTTTCTTGTGCATCGCTGGCAGAAAGGGAATCAAGATCTTCGTCAATGTCAACTTTGCCGGGGTTAAGAAAGTCGAGCAGAGCAGAAAGTTCGGCCAAGTTATTTTGAATAGGTGTTCCTGTGATCAGGATCTTGCAAGGAATGCCAAAGCTCACCAGCCGGTTGTATAATTGGGATTCACGGTTCTTGAGGCGATGAGCCTCATCAACAGCGAGCGTCTGCCATTTGATAGACTGCAGGAATTGCCAATCCTGGAGAATAAACTCGTATGAAGTGACAAGGACATTGAACTTGGGCTTCTTTGGGTTGCCATCTACGAGCAGCTCGTGCTCACGAATGATTTTTCGAGCATCCTCGGGTCCCAGGTAGACAACATAGTTGATGTCAGGGGACCAATGATTGAAAGTGTCGCACCAAGCCGGGATGACACTGAGAGGAGCAACCACAAGTGATGGTCCCTCCTGACGTCGAGCATTACGGAGCCAGCTGAGGAATGATACAGTCTGTACCGTTTTTCCGAGACCCATTTCATCGGCGAGAATCACGTTGTTGCCCTTTGTCCAGTTCAAACACAGGAAGTTGAGGCCCCGAAGCTGAAAGTTGCGGAGTTCGCCGCCTTTGATGAAATCGGGTTGCTCCTCGAGCTTCACCATCCGTGATCTCGTGTCGAGGTTCGTCTCCTTCCGGTCTGACTGCCACGAGCGTGATGCTCGATCAAGGTATTGGTCAATCTGGTCTTGGAACGCGTCGCTGATTTCTGACGCGACCTCCCATGTGCATTCTTCGTACGTGAGGCCCTTCCACTTGACAAGATACTCAGTATCGTCTTCACCGTCTCGTACAGCTACCACTCGCTCGACCTTCGTGTAATCCTCAAATGCTTCCTCGTCTCGCTCGCGGTCAAGGAAAAATTGCTCCTTCGTTTCGGGGGGGATATCATCGCCGACGCGGATGTCCACCTCGTACTCAATCACCTTTCTAAAGTAATTCTCAACTTTACGGTAACCTCGATAATCTCGAATGTCTTGAAACGTCTCCCAAGTGTCATGCA